TCTCTTTCGGCTTCTACTGCTTCGGCTTCTCCTGCTGCTGCTGGCGTCCCCGTGACCCGCCCTTAAAAAGCACAGTCTTAACTCAGCTGAATCCCATCTACCTATGCCCACACCCTATTCCAGGTGCCCGCCATCAGGCATGCATTCAGGACAAGGATCCATCATCTATCCTGATGGCGGAAGGGCAGAAAAGCCTGACATTTTCTCTACCCTATACCAACTCTGAGTTTTGCTTTTCCAATGCTGGGGGCACTTGCCAGAGAGTGGGAAAAATGTGGGGAGCATCTGGGGTGGGGGGTCCTTGTGAGACTGATGGTCAGGGGGCCCTGGAGCTGGCTGGGGCCTGCAGAGATGGGGCAGAGGGGGCTGTATTCATTTCTCATTATGACAACTTAAAACAACACCCATTTATTATCTTACTTCAGGGAACTCTGGGTGAGCTCAACTTGGTTCTCTGCTTAGTCTCACAAAGCTGAAAACAAGGTGTCATTCTGTCTGGGCTCTCACTAGAGACTCTAGGAGCAAATCCACTTCCAAGTTCCTTCAGGCGGTTGCTAGAATTCAGGTCCTGTGGTCTAGGACTGAGGCACCATTTCCTTGCTGGTTGCCAGCTGGAGGCCTCTCTTAGCCCTTTGGGGCCGCTCCATGCCTGTGACCCCTCCCTCTTCAAGTCAGTTTGAAATCTACCAGTAGCCTGAGAAAATGCTGCTTTTAAAGGGCTCATGGGATCAGAGTAGGCTCACCTGCCCAGGCAATCTCCCTTGTGCCAAACAATGTGACATGATCGCGGGGGCGATTTCTCATATTCAGGTTTTACCCACTGTAGGGCACGTAAATGATAATCAGGCTTTCCTGCCCTCCCACCATTAGGATGGATGATGGATCCCTGAGGTCCTGCGTGCATGCCGGATGGCGGCACCTGGAGTGGGGTGTGGGCCTAGGTAGATGGGATTCACCTGGGTTGAGACTGTGCTTACAAGGGCGGCGTCACGGGGACGCCAAGAGAGCGGAGAACTAATGGACGAGAGGAGGGCCACGAGAAAAGCAGAGAAGCAGAGACCACCAGAGAACGCTGGAGAGCCCAGATAGAGGGAAGGCTGCCTGGGGGCTGGGAGGCCTGTACCCCTGCCTGCCGTGTACCTGGTAAATCCTAATAAAAGCCTGAAAAGCCACTGAGGGCTCCAGGATTCCTCCTTCACCCCATCTGCTTGGGTCCTAGAGATCCTGCTCCGCGTCCTCCTGACCCTACACCCACACGGGAAGGAAGATGACACATCACTGCGGGTTGGGGGCAGTGTCATTCTGTCTACTGCAGCCTTCAATAAATCTTACTGACTTGAAATCCTTAAAAAAAGCCAGGAAGAGATGGTGCTCGCTCTGTATGCAGGGGTACAGCCAGCTGCTCTGACCTTAGTGTGCCACTTAATCCAGTCACCACTTACTGAATACTCAGCGTGCTCAGAGAGTTCTGCATGACAGCTACTGTCCTAGGCACCGGGAATGTAGAAATAACTAAGACAGGCAGGGTCCCTGCTCCCAGGTGTTTAAAATTCAGTGGAGAAGCTGGGGTTCAGATGGAGTTTGGTGTTGGGGGCTCTTGGGACCTTCTGAGAAAGCATTCAGCAGACACTCCCACTCATCAGCACACGGCAAGTTTATTAAGGAAAGCTGCCCGCACAGACGCAGCTGGGCAGTGGGCTGCATTTTGTCAGAGCAAGGGGTATTTTTTTCATAGTGTTCATGAAATTATTGTGGAATTTATCTCCTTGGGATCAGGTTGGGTTGGTCTTCTACAGTTGTTAATCTTCTCTGCCCCCATCTCTGGCTGATAATCTTTACTGACCTTATCTCAGGTTCCTGGAAACTTCCATAACAGGTTTAGTTTAAGATTCATCCATTGCCCCTGTCCTCACGTTTGGTGTTTGTTCTTGTGAGACCTTCTATTGTAACTTTTTTTTTTTTAAAGATTTATTGATTGATTGATACATACATACATACATACATACAAGCACTTGGCACAGTCAGAAGCACGGCAGGGTGAGAGAATTCACCAGAGCCAGAGCGGGGAGCAGAGCAGGCAGAAGGACCGGAGTACACTGCTGAGGGGAGCAGCGGGCGGCAGGAGAGGTCTGCGCGCCCTGTGGGACCCTCCTCTGGTGGCCGGGGAGCAGCCGGGGATCGAACCGGTGCTGCAGAGGCTGCAGACAGCTTCGCAACCCAGCGCTCAACCACTGCGCCTGTGGGGAGGCCCCTATCGTAACTTTTCTTACTCTCAGCTTCCATCCGAGAGGCAGGACATTAACAAATGTTTACGTTGAGATTATAAAGCAAGAGAGTGACAGAGAGGGGTGGTTTCTGTACTGAGTCCTGCAGACCTAATGCGCTTATGGTGACCAACGCAAGGAAAGTTACTTTGGGCTGGTCCACCACGGGTGTAACTTGGAAATCACGTTGGGTGCCACACTTACAGGGCAGCCCCGATATAAAATGGTTGCCTGACTGTGGGTCCTCACCCGCGCGCCGAAAAAGGACTTATCAATGTTCTACTGCAGGCACACACAAAAGGTTTATTTACAAGGGAAGGGGAAATGAGGAAATGTACAACTCAGGGAGAAAAGAGGGAAATAAAGTCTTAAATGCGTCCTACCCTTTCCGCTGCCCTGGAATCCCAATGGCATTTGGAGAGCTGGCCACGAGCCGTGAGGCCAAGAAGGCCCCCAAGGCCCACGTGTCTGGTTTTTATACCCAACCTGGCTGCTTAACTCCACCCTCAGGTCCCAGCAACCCCCCACCTGGTGATGATGGGATTTGTCTTTCCCAGTGTCTTGACGACTTTGGTCTGGGGTGGGGGTGGGGTCCACAAAGCCTGTATGGGATCAGCTCAGGACATCCTTTCCCCCCAACAATGCGAGTCAGCTGGCCCAGGATGTTACTGATTTTGAATGATCTTTGGCTTTTACCAATTAACTGCAGACACATTCTGAAATAGCCAGGAACTGGTTTCAAGTGAAGAATATTTATTGTGGATCTCTCAACAGAGAAGGGCCCGCAGCCACCAGCGGCATTTTATGGGGTTGATCTCCAGGGTGGGAGAGTTGGGGAGCAGGGTATTGGCTGGCTGGGGTTTTCTAAGCAGGGTATTGGCTGGCCTAGGAGGTTTTCGAGCTCGAGTTCCAGGACCTTTAAGCACCCACAGGTGCTTTAACCTGTCTCACATTTTTTTAAACATTTATTTATCTATGAATACAAGAACTGGGGTACAGGCCAGAGGTGCGGGGGTTGGGGGGAAGTGAGAGGATCACTAGAGACAGAGTGGGGAGCAGAACAGACAGATTGAAATACACTGCTGAGGGGAGCAGCGGATGAGACACATTTACTCACTCCTTTATAAGAGGGTAAGCTCTTCGCAGTTGATTAAGGTTTTACTAACAGGAACATAACGGGCCACACACACAGCTACTGCAGTAACACAGAGAATCAGGTTCCAGCAAGGACAGCCGTGCTCAGCTGGAGGTGCCTGTTGAGCAGGCCAGCTGTGTGACTGGAGGAGGCGGTGCTTTCCCGGATGCATAGACAAAGATTAGAAGGCCGTCTGGGCTGGAGTGCAAAAAGTGAAGTGGCAGGGAATGAAGTCATGAGGAAAGGCAGGAGTCAGGTGATATCAGCTGGGAGGGATTTTATTCTAGGAAGGGTGGGACAGATTTGGAGCTGGAAATCATAGTGAAAAGTTTTGGAAGTAGTATGATGGTTGCACAATAATGTGTGTATAATTGTCACTGAACTACACACATAAAAATGGTTAAAAGGGCAAGTGCTATATGTAGTTTACTATTCTAAAAAAGGTATTTTTAAAAAAAAGTAGTATTGGGTCAGAAAACACACAAAGGGTGCTGGGGGGGCAGAGGGAAAATAATTACTAAATGCTGTGGGCAAAGGAGGGTCTGAGACATTTAAAAAAAACAAACAAAAAGACAAGTGGAAAGAGACGAGAGGGAGGTTTGAGTGGTTCATTTTGTGAAGATCCACTGAGCTGTACATTTATAACTTGTGCCTATGTTCAGTCTGTGTAAGAGGGGGGAATTGTTACGGGGCAGCCCCGATACAAAACGGGGTGCCTGACTGTGGGTCCTCACCCGCGTGCTTAAAAGGACTTATCAATGCTCCACTGCAGGCACACGCGAAAGGTTCGTAAAAGGTTTATTCACAAGGGAAGGGGAAATGAGGAAATGTACAGCTCTGGGAGAAAAATGGGAGACAAAGTTTTAAATGTGTCCTACCTGATCTGCGGATCTGGAATCCTAAATGGCGCTCTGAGAGCTGGCCGCGAGCCAGGAGCCGTGAAGCCAGGAGGCGAGCAACAGAGTGAGAGAGAGAGACCCTAAGACCTACGTGTTTGTTTTTTTATACCCAACCCTGGCTGCTTAACTCCACCCTCAGGTCCCATCCACCCTCTCTTTGGTGATGATGGGATTTGTCATTTCCAGTGTCTTGATGGCGTTGGTCTGGAGTGGGGGTGGGGTCCACAAAGCCTGTATGGGATTAGCTCAGAACATCCTTTCCCCGGAACAGGGGTAGGATTTTTATTGCCCAGTTCAGGGCAGGCCAAGGTGAATTTTCTCTTGGTCAGCATGACTCAGTTGTTCTTGTCTCCTGGAAAAAATATTTTCCCACATTTCCGTGAAACTGATGGGCACTGTGTGGTCTAGGGGAGCAAGTGGCCAGGGTCTGCATGGCCTTATGATGCGACCTTTGTCTTCCATTCAACTGTGAACAAAAAACAATTTAAAAGGAGTGTGGTCAGTGCTGGGAGGCACTAACAGTTTAAGGCCATTTAGGGAAGTTAATAGGTTAGCAAGTGGAGGAACAGAACTGCAGGTTATGTTCTAAAGGTTACACCAGTGGCTAGCTCTTGCAGAAAGCTGTTTTTGTGTTTCTAATTCTCTGGACCTTGTTCTAAGTTTTTTTCAAGTATTAATTCATTTGATCTTTACCACTCTTAGGAGCACACAGAGGTGAAGGGCCTTGCTTAGGGTCACACAGCCGGGAAGTGGCAGAGATGGATTTGAAACCTAGACATTTGCGTCAGCGTCTGCACCTTCCACCATCCCATCTAACCGAGTGAAGGAATGGTATGCTCTCTGCGATTCTCTCTAAGCCTGTGGTTCTCAATATGTGTGTGCGCAGATTTTGTCCTCTGCTACCTCCTCCCCTTACCCTGCCCCCCCCCCCCATTTTGGCAGTGTCTGAAGACGTTTTTGGTTGCTTCCCACTGGCCCAGCACGTCCCGCACTGCCCTGCCAATCCGCGGGGACTAGGAGCACAGGCAATGCCAGGGGCACAGAGCCCCACCCTGTTTTCCCCACCGGGATTCTTGACCCAGTACCCAAAGGAGTGCTCCGAAGTCACGGAGTAGTCAGTCTCTATGGCACTCACGTGGTGCTAAGTACCGCGTTACATTTAATTTTAAAAAAAAAATTATTTATGTGTGCACACAAGAGCTGGGGTGCAGGCCGGAGATATGGGGTAGGGGTGTGTGTGTGTGTGAGAGGATTCACCAGAGACAGAGCGGGGGGAGTAGCACAGGCAGACTGCGTGAGCTTCCCTGCGGAGGGGCGCCGCGGGGAGCCAGGTGGGGTCTGCCGCGCCCTGTGGGTATCTCCCCGGCCGGGGCGCGAACTCGCGCTGCAGAGGCTGCGGATTACTTCACAGCGCTGCGTCTTAACCCCTTGCCCCACCAGGGAGGCCCCAACTTTAAATTTAATTCTGAGAAAACGTCTGAAGCGGGTGCTGCGTTTCCACGTCACAGCCGGGGCACTCCAGGCCGAGCAGCAGCTCGCGCGGGCCGGGCGTCCCCGGGGGCCTGGCGGGCGCCGGCCGGGCCGGGTCTGGGGGAATCGCGGTCCTCGGCGCCCGCCCGCCCCCGCCCCCGCCCCCGCCTCCGCCCGCCCCCGATTGGCCGCCGCCACCGCCCGCCCCCGGGCCAGCCAGTCAGGGCGGCGCGGCGGCCCTCAAAGCCGGCCGGGGCCTGCGCCGCAATCACTGCAGGGAGGACGCCGGGGCGCGCCCGCTGAGGAGCCCCGCGGCCCGCCCGTCCCGCCGCCGCCGCCCGCCCCCGGCCCGCCCGCGCCCGTTCGCCGCCCCCGGCCCGCAGGTGACGCCCGCGCCCGTTCGCCGCCCCCGGCCCGCCCGCGCCCGTTCGCCGCCCCCGGCCCGCCCGCGCCCGTTCGCCGCCCCCGGCCCGCCCGCACCCGTTCGCCGCCCCCGGCCCGCCCGTGACGCCCGCGCCCGTTGGCCGCCCCCGGCCCGCAGGTGACGCCCGCGCCCGTTCGCCGCGCCGGGGCCTCGGGCGGGGATTTTCGGTTCCCGGCGCCTCCGAGCGCCCCGCCGCGGAGCATGTCGGGAAAGGATGGTCTGGGGGAGACGCCGCGGGCGGGGGGGGGGGGTCGTGTGGGGTCGCGGGGGGCGCGTGCCGTGGGAAGCCCGGGCTCCTCCTCCAGGCGGGGGGGACGGGCTCGAGGGGGGCTAGGGGAGTCGCGCTGCCGGCAGGGGCGGGCCGGGGGCCGGGGCCGGGTCCCTCGTCACGGCCTCAGGGCACGAGGCGGTGGAGCTTCTGCCGGGAGAGCGCTCGGCGTCCAGCCGGTTGTGCTCGTCTCGGGGGTACCCAGTGGCGCCCCCCGGGGGCCGGGGCCTCGCTCCCCGAGGTTGGAGCCGCGGGGAGTCGCTGCCCGATCCCTCCCCACAAGGAGGGGGAAATTAGCCGGATTAGCCCCCTGCTCCTCAGGGCTGGTGGGAGTTGGGGCTCCAACCTGGGGCTGGAGGAGGAGTTTGCGTCACGTGCTTTGACGGGAAGGTGAAAATAAAACGCCCCGTGACAGGCGCCCCAGGTGCCCAGCTCTCCGCCGCAGGGCTGTCAGTTCACTATTGTGGAGCGCGGGGCCTCCCTGGTGGTGCAGGGGGGTGGGCACCGCCCTATGACGCTGTCCGCAGCCTCTGCAGCACGAGTTCGATCCCCGCTGGCCAGGGGGCTACCCACATAGCGCGGCAGACCTCTCCTGTCTCCCCGCTGCTCCCCTCAGCAGTGGATTTTGGTCAGTCTGCCTGTTCTGCTCCCCACTCTGTCTCTGGTAGATCTTCTCACCCCCCACATCTCTGGCCTGTACCCCAGCTCTTGTATGCATAAATAAATCAATAAACCTTTAAAAAAATAAAATAGGTACGTTTATTTAAAAAAAATTGTGGCGCTTACTAGCTTATTGGGCAGGGATTGTTTCTGGAAGGGGAGACAGTCTATGGCGAAGTACCCAGTGTGACAGGTACAAGGTTTCGGGTTTGCATGGCGACTGCATGGAACCTTGGCGGGAAGCATCTAGCCCTGACTGGGGAAGGGGCAGAGCTGCGCAGGGAAGGGATGCTTGAGGGACGGGCGGGGGCAGCCGGACGGGCAGAACCATATTTCATCTGGTAAACAGCGCAGGGAAGGCCTGGAAAGAGCCTGGAGCCCCTTGAAGATCGGGATTCAAGTGGGTGGTGGATTTCCCCAGCTGTGGGAATGAAGAAGCGAGTCTTGCAGAACCTCCTGTGCAGCTTTAAAGGTTGGGGTTTTTTCCCGAAAGCCCTGGCAGTTGTGTGTCCTGTTCGTCGTGTATCTTAGATACTCTGCAGTGCGGACAAGTACTGAAGAGAGGCCGCCCAGGGAGCTCATTACGGTAACTCCCAGGAGAGCTGCTGAGGGTGTGAAGACAGCGGCGGTGGGAAGGGAGAGATGAGTGGCCGGGTGTTAGGGCTGGGGATGACACGCCGCCCAATATCGTGCGGTAACAATGTGTTGACGTGAGCTCTGTCCCTTGAGTTTCTAATCTATGACAATCTTCTGAGGAGCTGCCCAGCATTTCTTTGAAAACTGCCGTGACCCCATCCTTCAGTGTCATCTGTTTTCCACCTCGCTGAGTCTCCACCCTCTCCACTGCCTGAGGGATGACGCTCTGGCTCCCAGGCTGTTGCGAGAATGGGAAAATGTCTCCCCCATCGCGAGCTCAGCGGGTGCCCAGGATGTCCCTGGGCCCTGCCTCCCGCAGCGCATCCACAGGCGCTTCTCGCAGGAGGCTCTCCTCAGCCCCGGCTACAGTAATTACTGTGTCATTTTCTTCCTGCAGACTAAATGCATGTTCCCTGGCGCTCCCCTTGGAGGTCATTCTACTCTTGGCTTATTAAGATCTGCCTGATCTTATTTTTAAAGGCTTCATGTATCCAAGACAAGGATGTGCCGTAATGGATTCACCGCGGTCCCCTATTGACGACCCTCTGTCGCGTCCAGTGTTTTCCTGTTACAAACCAGTGGGCCTCCTCACTCCTTCAGATCGCCCCCTTTTGAAAGTGGTACCTCCCGCTCCTGCCACGACTCCCTCCCCCTGTCTTATTTTTCTTCCCGGTGCCCATCACCCGTGTGTTTCTGTGTCTGTCTCTTCCTGCTAGAATGTCAGCTCAGTGAAGGGTTTTGTCTTTTGCTTCCCTGTTCTGTGCCATGGGCATCTGGTGTGTGCTCAGGCAGGCCATGTTTATTGAATGCATGGTTGGGGAGTTCCAAGGATGAGTTGAGGGCAAAGCAGAGGATGATGCCCGCGTGCCAGGGCCACGGAGGGCTACACGCAGAAATGGCAATCATGAAGAATTGCGGGTTTGGCTGGGATCATGTACTTTCTCTTTATGAATTTTTCCCTTTGCTAAAATAAGAATAATAGGTATGCTGCAAGATTATTTGTGACTTTGTTCTGATCCAGACTTTGTCAAGAACGGTGCTGCTCTGGCTGGCTGCTTTGAGCTGTGTTATTGCTGAGGGTGATGGAATGACTGTTCTGTTCATATTCTTCTTCCCCCCAGGACCTAAGGTTTCCCCACATACTATTTGGTATCTCTGTTTCCCTAAGTGACATTTTCTAATTAGTGTCACACTGTGAAGCTTTTAACTTTTATTCAAAGTAAAACTGTGTTTATAAGGGGAAAAAAGGAGGGGATCATTGCCAGATGTTAACTGGCACTATCACTTGTGTAGCAAGGCACTTTCCTCACTGAGGAGTAACTTGCCAATAGGAGAATGAAAGGTCGACTTGACTTTTCAGGTTTTATTTAGTCCCTTTGGGGGTGGTGGCGGGAGGCGCGTGAGAGCCTCCTCAGGACTAAGTCACTTGACCCAAACTCAAAATCGCCTGGTGAGCAAACCAGGGAGGCAGCTTAATGATTGTCGGAGAAGTGTGAGGAGTCCCCGTTGAGCTCCAGCCGTCCTGCCCCCCAGGGCGGGCCAGAGAGACTGTCACCTGATCAGGTTTTGCTGGCTTCACAGTCCAGCGGCGGGGTTGACTATGGTGACAGATGACATCACCGCAGAGCAAAAATATTCACTCCCCAGCAACGACAGTTCGTTGCCTGCCCTGGGGGACGCCTTCACTGCAGACCTCACTGTGGCCGGAGGCTTCCCATGAAAGCTCTGAGCCAAAGAGCTGCCCATGAGGGAGCCCCAGCATCATGTCCCCGGGGTGAGCCCTGGGGGACTTGGTGCTTTTGCTCCTTGGCTCTCTCTTGTCTGACCTCATTGGTGCTTCTTCATACTTTTGTGTAATTGTGTGAAAGCCCCAAGTGAGCCATGTGGGGTGGGGTGGCTGTGGGGAGACTCCCTGGGTGCACATGAGCGCGCTAGCAGGCCGGCGGGTGCCAGCATCAGGGAGGCCTGGGCAGCCCACCGCCCTCATCTGTTATATCCCCTGCAGTCGTAAACAAACAGTAAGAAAACAAAAAGCTTAGTTGTTTCAGGATAATCTTAAAACGCAATCTGGGGCATCTAGTAGTTTCCTGGCCAAATGGGGACCTTGTGCTGGAGCTGAAGACGCCGGGATCTAGCCCCTGCCCAGGCTTCGAGATTAAGAATGGAGTTCCTGGGAGGAGGTATCTGGGGGTAGAGGATGGCGTGGGCAGTGGTGCCCTGCTAGGGTTAGTGGCTGGAGGGGCTGCTGTATCGGGCCCTGGCATCCCCTGGAGCTTGCTGGAACTGCCAAACTGGGCTCTGCCTAGGATGACTGCCTTGGAATCTGCATTCTAACATGCTCCCTGGTCACCAGGATAGGATGCACAGTTGAGTTGGAGAAGCGCGGGCCTCAGGTGCTTTTAGCTGGCTTTTTTTTTTTTTTGCACTTATGGGAGAATCCATCATTTTGGATTTTAGCACAGAATGCTGAGGATGAGGTCAGGCATAGCCTGAGCTCCGTGATGACATGCAGGGGCTTTGTTTTGCCAAGTGGCATTGGAGGCAGTGGCCAGCTCCAGACTTCGTTGTTCTGAGCCCCCCAGCACGGAGTCCTCCAGCACAGAGACTGTTTTTCCTCTTATCTCACAGTGACAGGCCTGGCTGCTGTCACAGGAAGGCTGTATTTTGTTTTCTTTTTTTTTGAATAACAGGGCAGGGTCTGATCCAAGTAGTGCTTAGCCTCTGTGGTCAGTCCTGCCCTTTGCTCTTTAAAACTTCAAGTTTGGCCATGAAATATAAAATCGAGCTTTTTCTTCATTAAGAATAATTAAGTTTTCTTTTTTAGAAAAATGTTGCTATGGAGATTAAGGAGCTAATCTTAATTGGGGAGCTGATAAATAACACACTTTTGCTTACTTTAATAAAACACTATCCCCAAATGCACAAGCTACCCTTAGCTCTTGAAGCAGTGCCTTTCCTATTACTGAAAGTGTTTATTTTTATTTTTATTTTTTTTTTATTTTTTTTTTTAAACCTATGTTTTGCTTCAGTGATTTTTTTTTTTTTTTTTTTAAGATTTATTTATTTATTTATACAAGCACTGGGTACAGTCAGAAGCGTAGGAGGGTGAGAGAATTCACCAGAGCCAGAGCGGGGAGCAGAGCAGGCAGAAGGACCGAAGGACACTGCTGAGGGGAGCAGCGGGCGGCAGGAGAGGTCTGCGCGCCATGTGGGACCCTCCTCCGGTGGCCGGGGAGCAGCCGGGGATCGAACCGGCGCCGCAGAGGCCGCGGGCAGCTTCGCAACCCAGCGCTCAACCGCTGCGCCACCGGGGAGGCCCGAAAGTGTTTATTTTTAAATGCTCTCATCTGACCTGGGATAATGAACAAAGCTTGACAAATAATATGTTATAAACCCCAAAGATTTTAAATCAGAAAAGTCTTCCAACATGGAAGCATCCACATGAAACTTCCAGTTTCTCAAAAAAGAAAAACAACGAAACACTTTTGTTATGTGGAGTCTTTCTCAGCTGCCACCCCACCAGCCAGCTAACATACTGGGGCCAGCTGCCTTGCCCCCCCCAGAATAATTAAGTCTTGTGATGCAGGGCCATGTAGAAGAGACACTGGGCCAAGGACTCAGACGTGTTAGTTTACCAGTTACCAGTCAGCTGGTCTCGGCCACAGCTGACTCTCATGGATATCGAGCAAGTCACTCACTCTCTTGTGTCAGCCTCATCTCCCTGAAAAAATGGTGTAAAATACGCACCCTTCCTGATGCACAGAACACACACACACACACACACACACACACACACACGGTGTCATTGTTATATGCGGACATTATCTTGGGCTAGCAATTTCTGACCGTAGCTTATCCTGAGACTTCACTCACAGACTTGTACTTTGCCCTTCAGTGTTTGTATTGAATTTTGCAAACATGACTGTATACTAATATACATTAATTGTAGTAAAAAGAGGCAAATATGAGAAAAATCATCTTAATTTCATCTACCCCTCAGCTGTGGCTGCTGCTTCATGTTTGTCTGCCTTCCACATTTTTCTGTGCACACATTACATATATCTTCTCCTAAACAGTTTACAAGACGTGGTAGACATTTTTCCAACACTTGAATTTTGTTGGTGAGTTTTCTCTGCCTTGTTCCAAGTTTTGACAAAAACCTTAAAAGAGCTTTCTTAATTTTTGGTTTAGATTTGCAACCTCATGTAGTGAAATTGGGGGGTGTGGGCAATTCCTTTCTCCACATGAGGAAAAAGCACAGAAGAGCAAAGAATAAAATTGCTGTGCTATCACTTTTCTCCTCTGCATGCTCTGTCTGATGACTAATTGGTCTTTTTTTTTTTTAAGATTTATTTATTTATACAAACATAGGGTACAGTCGGAAGCGCGGGAGGGTGAGACGATTCACCAGAGCCAGAGCAGGGAACAGAACAGGCGGTTCGACTGAAATACACTGCCGAGGGGAGCAGTGGGCGGCAGGAGAGGTCTGTGCGCCGTGTGGAACCCTCGCCTGGCGGCCTGGGATCAAACCGGCGCCGGCAGCTTCGCAGCCCCAGCGCTCAACTGCTGCGCCACCAGGGGAGGCCCTAATTAGTCTTTTTGACGTGCTCTCTGTTCTTGGGAGTTTCTTGGCCTGACCCTGCGCTTTTCTTCCCAGATTTCTGCTGTCAGACCCCAAGGTGCAGGATGATTTGGGGAGTGACCGTGTTGCTCAGCTTGGCCCTGGCCATTGGTGCTGTTCCTGTGGACGATCCCGAGGACGGGGGCAAGCACTGGGTGGTGATCGTCGCAGGTTCCAATGGCTGGTATAATTACAGGCACCAGGTAAGAAGTGACACTTCTTTTTTCAAATGACACTGGCATTCTCTAGACCGTGGTTGTTAACGAGTAGGTTTCTTAAAGGCCATCTGCGCTCCTATTTGGCTGGGATACTTGTGGTGGTGACAATACGGGGAAATGGAAACCCTCATACATCGTTGGGGGCAGTTATAAGATGGTACAGCCCCTCTGGAAGTTTTGCAGTTCCTCAAAATAGCCCCTATGGGGTCCCCTCAATCTCATGTAACGATATTTGGGGCCAGATAGTTCTTTGTTATGGGGTGTCTTGCCAATTGTAGGATGTTTAGCAGCATTCCTGGCGTCTTCCCAGTAGATACCAAGAGCTTCGCTCTCCCCACCAAAATTGTCTTCAGAGGTTGCCAGACGTCCCCAGGTGAGATCACTGGTCTGACACCTTCATTTTATAGAGACGGAAAATGAGACTTATCAGGAGGAGGTGATGCACCTGGGGCCACACGGCGGGTGGACGCCCGACGGGACTAGAGGTTGGGGCTTTGGTCAGAGCATCCCCAGGCCTCTGCCCTGCCTGCCTCTGCCCTGCTGCCATTCCCCACTCCCCAACCTTCCTGGCATTTCCTCCAAACCAGCTTGGCAGGTGTGAGGAAAGGCTTCTCATCTGGACACACAGCCAAGCGCAGCCGCCCCCTGGGAAAGTCGAATGGGGAAGCCGCTTTAGAAACAGTCTGGCTGTTCCTCAAAGGGTGGGACACAGAGTCAGCACGTGACCCGGCCACCCCCCTCCTGGGCACACCGCTGAAGGGGACGAAAATCTCTGTCCACACAGAAACTAGTACCCGATGGATCCTGGCAGCTTTATTTGTAATAACCAAAGGTGGAGACAACCCAAATGTCCACCGCTAATGAGCAGGTAGGCGGGCTGTGGCCTGTCCGTGCAAGAGGACAGCATTTGACCATAGGAAGAACAAAGGATTAACACATGCTTCAGCATGAACGGACCTTAAAAACATGCTGAGTGAAAGGAACCAGACTCAAGGACCATGTATCACAAGATTTATATGGAAGTCCAGAGATGGGGAATGTGTGGAGACAGAGTAGAGCAGTAGTTTCCAGGATCTGGGCGGAAGAGAGAGTGGGGAGTAACTGCTAATAAAGTCTCACTGGAGTGATGAAATTGTTCTGAAATTAGAGCTGATAGTTGCACAACTGTGTGAATATACTAGAGACCACTGAATTATATATTTTAAAAGGCTAACTTTAATGGTGTATGATTTATATTTCAAGAAAGCGGTCCTTAGGCATGTCACTTAATGTATTAATTGTCAGAAACAAGATGCACAGCCTGTCCATATCTGTGCTCTCTTGTAAGAGCCCTTGACCCAAGTGCACTTAGTGAGCCCCCGCAGTGGAGCTAGGTGTGGCAGCATTGGTTCTTATTTCCCTTTTACCTGGGTGGACTGAGGCACAGGAAGGGTCAGCACCTTGCCTGTCATGCCACAGATCACCGAGGTCGAGCCAGGATTCAAACCCAGGCTGACTGGCTCCAGAGCAGTGTGGGGTGACAGGGAGAACCATAGAGGTGAAATCAGCTTTACTATGTCTTAATTAATCCAGTATATCCAAGTTGTTGTTGTTTCATTTATAGTCAATATAAAAAGTTAAGTGATGCCTTACATGTCACATGTGCCAAGATACTGAGGTCCAGCGCTCATGGACATCCCTGGGGCATTTATCTTGGACTGGCCACCTCCACACTCCATGGCCACATGTGGCTGGTGCGTGTTGGACAGTGCAGGCCTGGTGTCGGTGCTCCCACTGGTGTGGCAGTGCTCCCTCAGGTGTATTCCCTGCTTGGGTATCAGTTTCCATGTCTGTTAAATGGGGCAGGGGGCGGGGGGTATAGACGAACTCCCTGCCAGTTCTAATATTTGATGATCATTGGTTGGCGTCTACATTCAGTGACTTATGTGTGTTAACTGAATAGGAAATTTGGCTTGATTAAAAAGCCATTGTTATCATGAGATGATCCCTCTGCTTTTTAATGCTTAGCCACAGACCTGACCTATTTGCAGAGGAGCAACCTGAGGATGAAACTGCCCAGCTCTCAGTTTTCGCCTTTCTTTTTGAGCAGGAGGTAGAAAGGGGAGGTGTTAAATGCAGATCCTGGGACGTGAATAGGTTTACCTGTGTTTATATAACCAACTTGGGGAAAAAACTTTGGGTAAACATTATTAAGTATGGGCTGACTTATTATCCTTTACTCCCAGAAAGCCTTTTTTAAAGAACTGTTGCTAGATTTCCTGGGTAAAATACTCAGTTTTGAAATATTAGAATGAAGGGAAGCAAGGCAAAAGCCTTGCCACAGCCTGAAATATTTATTAGCTAGGCAAGAGGATGAACGCGCTGAGGCTGGACTGAGGGGAAGTGGATGCTGAATCATCGCTGGCCTCAGTCCCTGGCCCTGCCGGCTGGGTCTCTTCTCAGCCAGTGCCAGCACAGGCTTTCTTGACTTTGGAGGTTAATCTTTAAAAGAGCATCTGAAGGAACTTTCCTGTAGATTCCATACAGACTTGCATTAATTATCGAGACGTAGATGTTTCTTGGATTAGTACAATACTCATCACAAATTCCTTTTTTTCTTTTTTTGCTAGGGAAGGTTAACATAGCAGGTGCACTTAAAGCATTACTAAGTGCCATGTGGTGCTTTATGATGGTGATTTTTTATTTATTTTTTCTCAAAATTTATTGGTTTGCCAATCTTTACATAACTAATTTTGGGAGCACATTTTCACTCCTCATATGTGCACTCACCCTGCAGCCCCCACTGGTAACCAGTGTATTTTTCATAGGGTTAGAATTAATTTTGTTTTGCCAGTTTGTTTTGTTTGATAGTTGATATTCTGCATTTAGTAGAATAGTTGATATTCTATACTTACGTAAGTGTAAGTATTCTACACTTTTTTAAGTGTAGAATATCAACACTGGCTTATGTCACTGAGCTTTAGCTCAAGATCCATTCACTTTGTCCCTAGCAGGAATGCTAAGCAGGCCATGCCGAGCCTGCGCGTCACAAAACAGAGGCCTTTACCGAGGCAGGTTTATCATAGACATATACCTTGCCCATTTCAGATGTACACTCAGATTTTTTTAGTAAATTTGCCAAGTTGTGCAAACATCACCATGCATCAGTTTTAGGACATTTCCATCCCCCCAGTAAGATCCTGTGGGCCCACATTTGCAATCTCCACCTCCAGGCTGCCACGCGTCTGCTTTCTCTTTATAAATTTATATTTGCCCTTTTGGAACATCTCATAGAAATGGAGCCAGATAGCACGTGGGCCTCTGTTTTTCAGGCCTCTCTGTGTCCCGGGAGGTGTCAAAACAGCATTCCTTTTTATTCCCAGCCCGCAGTCCGTGGCGTGGGTACGGGCAGCCTGTCCACTTACGTGGGGGTGGACATTGGGATGTTTCCCAGGTCTGACCTATGTGTACGAACCTTTGTTGAGTGTTTTTCTTTCTCCTGGGTGGATACTCAGGAGTAGAATTGCTGGGCCATGTGGCAAATTTATGTTTAACTTTTAAAGAAACAAACTGTTTTTCCAGAGTGACTGCTCCATTTTACATTCCCACAAGCCGCACAGAGAGGTTCCTGGCCTCCACGACCTCCCAGCGCCTGTCACTGTCTGGCTCTGAAATGACTCATTGTGGTTTTAATTTGCATTTCCCTGATAATGATAGTGAGCATCTTTTTACGGTGCTTATTATTAGCCATTTGTACATCTGCTAACGTGAAATGTTCAACTCTTTTATCTATTTTTGGTGGGGTTGATTCTCATCGAGGTATCAGAGTCTTTTGCATCTTTTAGACACAACGTTTTACAAATATTTTCTTGCTCTGTTGCTTATCTTTCATTTTCTTAACTGAGATGTCTTCAGCAAACATGGTCCTTTACTACTTATTTTAATAGTGTCATTTGAAGCACTAATGCTTTTGATGATGTTCAATTTGTTTATTTTTTTTCTTTTTTTTTAATTTTCTAGAGGCATGTCTTATTTATTTATTTTTATTGTTTGTTTGTTTGATACATGCACTGGGTACAGTCAGAAGCGTGGGAGGGTGAGAGAATTCACCAGAGCCAGAGCGGGGAGCAGAGCAGGCAGAAGGACCGAAGTACACTGCTGAGGGGAGCAGCGGGCGGCAGGAGAGGTCTGCGCGCCATGTGGGACCCTCCTCTGGTGGCCGGGGAGCAGCCGGGGATCGAACCGGCTGCAGAGGCTGCAGGCAGCTTCGCAACCCAGCGCTCAACCGCTGCGCCACCGGGGAGGCCCTATTTTTTTTTTTTTTTTTTCTTTTATAGGCCATGTGCTTAGTTCATATCTGTGACATCTTTACAGTTATAACTTAAGGTTCCAAGGACTTTCCCTATGTCCTGTTTCAAAAGTGTCACTTTGTTTTAGCCCTTACCTATAGCTCTGTGATCCAATTTGCATTGGTTTTTGTGTGCGGTGTCCAGTGAGGGCCTGATTGCATCTTTTTGGATGTGGCATCCAAACTGTCCTAGCACCATTTGCTGAAAATACTCTTCTTTCTGCAGTGTATTTTATTTTATTTATTTATTTTTTTTGTTTAGTCTGTTTGATTTATTTCTTTATAGCCCACATATGAATAAAACTATTATTTGTCTTTTTCCCAACTTATTTCACTTAGTATATCACTTACTATATAATATCATCCAGGTCCATTCACATTGTTTCAAATAGCAGAATTTCATCTTTTTTTTTTAATAATTGAGCAGTGTTCCATTGTGTTTTATATTCCATATATATATTATTATGTATTTAGCTCCACATCTTCTTTATACTCTGGACCTTTGAGTTATATGAATCATGAGATAATAATTTGCCTTTGTCTTTCAAATATTTTGAAATTAGATTATCTGTCAATTATAATATAGTGTTCTGACTGAGAGTAGGCCACAAAGTCAATTTTTTTAAGACCTGGAAAACCTTAGTGCTAATCTTAGTTTTACCATGGGCAGGTGATATATTTTCATTGGAAAAATAACTAGAATGTCCTTCACTTAATATATTTTCTTGGTGTTCAATAGCAACAAACACATATTGCATTTTGGCAGATAAGAGGTTTTCCTGCAGGCTTTCTCTAACAACTTATAGCTTCTAAAGGAACAGCTATCCCCTCTGCAGTGTATTTTAAGACCAGGAAGTGAGAGTCCTCTGTCTGCTGTTTTGAGATTGTTTTGGCTACGCTATGTCCGTTGTGATTTCATATAACCTTTAAGATCATCATAACACTTTCTGCAAGAAAACCTGATTTTTTTTTTTTAAAGAATTAAGTCTTCTGATTCATGACTATAAGACATCTCTGTGTTTAATTACATCTTTAATTTCCCTCAGGAATAGCTTAGCATTTTCAGCGGATGAGTCTTACACTTCTCATGTTAAATTTATGCCTAAATCTTTTTTTTTTTTTTGATGGACACACCTTTTCATGTCTGATAAGAGAAATAAGTAATAGGACGATTTGTCCTGGGGTGAGGTCATTAGGGGTAGGTTAAGATGTGACATAATGTTTGACATTTTTCATTATGAAATTGAAAACATGACATGTTCAATTTAAATAATAATAATAAATGATTACCTGTGTACCTTGTGCCAGCTAAAGAACAGACGTTACTAGTCCCATGTCTGTGTCCAGTTGGAGCTCCCTCCCTGCAGGAGAGCAGATTTCTGCATTTCTCGTCAGTCATTTAAAAAGATTTTATTTATTTATTTATTTATTTCATTTATTCGCTTTGCTTTACATTCTTACCACGGGTATACTTGACTGTAAGCAACACAATGTTTACTGGGTCTCTTTTGACCCTTATATAAATGTTGTCATGGGGAATTTTTTTTTCTTCTACAACTTTTCCTCATTTTGTTGCAGAGATTCAACTATTTTGAAGCATGGGTTGCTTTTCACTCATTTCACTCATGTTCTATTCTGTGCTCATAAGACAGTTTATTTTTCTAGCTATTGAGGGTCCTTTTGATGGGTTATTTCTTGATTTTTGCTGTCGCGGTGATGCTGTGCACAGCCTCCTGTTACACGTGGGTTAGACTTCTCTAGGGTGCATGAGGCGCAGATTGCTGGGTTGGCGGGTGTATGCTCGGGTAATGCCAAGATAGTTTCCCCTGTGGAGTGGGGTGACACTGGGCTTCTGAGTCGTCGTTCATCATCCTGAGTTCACTGTTTTCCGGACCTGAATCAGTGTTTTCAGGAGACTTTTATAAGGTGTGGGAAAAGAACATTCAAAGGCCCTTGTGACCTGAAGGTGTGGTGGTGGCTTTGTGTGCGTGTGTGTGTGTGTGTGTGTGTATGCTTGTGTGCACACACGTGTCCTACATATACTAGCTGCCTGATGAATAGGAGCTTGGATAATTGGGGGCTGGTGGGGGTTTCTTTAAATTCAGTTGAGGGCCTCCCTGGTGGCGCAAGGGGTTAAGACACAATGTATGAAGCTGTTTGCAGCCATTGCAGCATGAGTACCATCCCCGGCCAGGGAGCTACCCACATGGTGCAGCAGACCTCTCCTGCCTCCCCACTGCTCCCCTCAGCAGTGCATTTCAGTAGATCTGTCTGTTCTGTTCCCCACTTTGTCTCTGGTGAATCCTCTCACCCCCCACACCTCTGGCCTGTACCCCAGTTCTTATATGCGTCAAATAAATCTTTTTAAAAAATAGAGTTGAAAAAATATAAATGTATGTATTTTAAAATAATTCAACTACCTGATTCACAGCACTTCTTTTTGAGAAAGAATATGTTCATTAGAACAAAACCTGACTCTTGCTGGGCAAAATCTCACTTGACAAAATGGTTTCTCCCAGGCTGATGCTTGCCACGCCTACCAGATCGTCCATCGCAACGGGATTCCCGATGAGCAGATCATTGTGATGATGTATGATGACATCGCCAACTCCGAAGAGTAAGTAGGGGGCACCTTGAATTTGGTAGGGGAAAACTTAAGGGCATTTACAGGAAAAGGCATAAAGGCTTGCAGGCACCCATAGAGTGGACCCTACAGTAGAATATAGACAGATTCTCAGGTGAAATTGCACAGGCTGCTCCAGTAGTGCTTTGGACATAACTCACGGGCACCTTGGCAGTGGCTGGAAGTAGGAAATGGGCGCTGCAGGGGATATGGGCCATTGTGCTGGAACTCTCTCAGCTCGGAGAGCTCTGTGTTGGGTCCTACAGGGCTGGTTCCTAATCCCTGGGTGGGCATCACAGAGCCCCCGACACGAAGGCTGGCTTGTAGGTTATACCCTCAGGCCCTGCTTTCCAGACTATTGACTTCCGTTATTTGTTGATTTGATTTCACAGATAGTTCCCTCCTGTGTACTTCTGGAGAAAGGCAAATAGAGGTACTAGAGTAACCAGCTCTAGCCTCCCACTCCTATCACCCTGCTGTGGCCCCAGCGCAGGGTGTGCCCTTCATTTTCTGTCCTGAGCTTTAACCCCTCAGCTTTCGTATCGAGGCCTTGTCTTCTGACCTGCCCTTTCCTGCAGCCCTGTTCCTCTGAGAGCTTTCTTGATGAGACCTTGTCTCCTGGATGCCTTGTGACTTCCACTGGGAGGCCAGCACACCCTGGCTTTGGTCCGTACTCAGTTTTCAGAGCTCAGCCCTTCATTGCTCCTGCCAAGAGCTGGAGTGTTGGGGGCACCCCGAGCTGCTGAAGTCACTTATGGGTCGGTGGCCATTCGCAATGAGACACGTGGACCACAAACAGGATCTTTTACTGCTTTTGTATGTAAACGGGTGTGTTTGTGAGGAGACAGGTTTGAGAACCTTCAGGTCAGGAGCTTCAGGCGTGTTCTTTGATTTTCAGCAATCCGACCCCGGGTGTCGTGATCAACAGGCCCAATGGCTCGGACGTGTACGCGGGGGTCCCCAAGGACTACACCGGCGAGGTGAGGCGGTGGGATGCGGGTCGATTCTCATTTCAGTGACTTTCTTCTCCTTCCTGTATTTCTAGGATCAGAACCTCACTAGATTTCAGGTCTCTGTTTCCTGTCAGTATTAAGACTTTGGAGAATTTCAAAAGACGGGGGGAAAAAAAAGGAAAACTGTCAAAAATAAGTTGTAGTTCACCACCTTTCAGTTTCTAGTTTTCTTAGACTTTAAATCTGAAATATTTCCTTCAATAAGACCTCAAAGTCTTGAGGAGTTGCTGTTCATCTAATTATAATGACCAGCGTTCTTTCCTGAAAATCACGTATTTGGGAGTTCTCCAGCGCCAAGCCCGGTGCCGCGAGCCTCTCCTCAGTGTGCCGCGATGGCTGCGTGACGTCGTCATATCACCCCCGCCACTGAGGCCGTGCGGACTGACACATCTTAAGAAACACCACCATGACTTAAGTCTTGTGATTTTCATGGTCTCTTTCTTAATTTCCTTAAGAGGAATGTTTTAGGAACTAAATTCCTCACGATAAAGAACATTTATCTCAAGTTTAGCAACTCTTTGTTCCATTTTTTTCGTCTTTTGAATTCAAGTGCAGTGAAGTGGAACACGCTGTACATGTGATAGTCATCCCTTTTTTGTGAAATGATTTCTATAGCGTTACATGGAAGTGTCTAGAATTAGATGGTAGGAATTGGGTAATTTTATTTCTTTTGTAATTTTCTATATTGCTTTTTTAAATGATCAGGTATAAATTTTACAAAATTTCCTTTAAGGACATTGCATGTCCTTGGAACCAGCCTTTCAGATAACAAACTGGATGCAGAGGGGAGGTCCCAGCGCTGATATGTCTGCCTCCCTCTTGCTGTCTCTGAGGTGGTGTGCTCGTGTGGCCTCTCTTACTTATCCCCACCTTCTGGCATCTTTGGGTTTCTCCACGGGGACTTCTATAACTGTCAAGAAGGTCTGCTGAGTTGCCACTTGTCAGGCTTGCTGAGTTGCCATCAGCCAGCGACCCAAGATGGCATTTGAGATGAGCTCACGGAAGTGCCCCAAAGATGCTGACCTTGCTTTTGGAGCCTTCTTAGTCCCAAAGTATCTGCTTGTAAACCTCGAGCCTCAGGGATGTGTGGGCCGGGGCCTCCGGTCTGCCAGGCTCAGCAAACACTCTGGGCAAGCTGAACAAGCAGCTACATCTGATCTCAAATTCCAATTCTTCGTAGGATGTCACCCCACAAAATTTCCTTGCTGTGTTGAGAGGAGATGCAGAAGCAGTGAAGGGCAACGGATCTGGAAAAGTCTTGAAGAGGTAACGTCTATTTTATGGAAATCACACTTTTTGGAATGACTTGGAACCCCAAAATAGAGAATCAGTGTCAAGGTTTTTTCTCCTTTTGATTTCTTCTCTGACCCATTGCTTGTTCAGGGGTGTGTTGTTAATCACATACTTGTGAATTTTCTAGTTTTCTTCCTGTCACTGATTTTTTTATTTATGCTATTGTGGATGGAAAAGGTACTCAATATGATTTCAGTGTTCTCAAATTTGCTGAGATTTCTTTTGTGACCTGGCACGTCTATCTGGGACTGTCTTCCATGCATGCAGGAGAAGAGTGTGCTGTTGGGTGGAACACTCTGGTTATGACTGCGAGGTCCAGCTGGTTTAAAGAATAGCTCAAGTCCAATGGGTCTTTATTGATTTTTCTCTCTAGATGATCTGTTGCTGAAATTGGGGTATTGAGGTTCCCCAGTATTATTGTATTGTCTACTCAGAATAGTGAATTTAAGCAGACATTGTTCTTTGCTCCTGACTTGTTCACCATAAGAATGACAGGATCAAGAACTTTGTCTGACTCCCGACAGGCTGCCAAGGCTGATGGCTTCTTTTGACAACTCATTTCTGTACTGAACTAACCACATGATCCATGGTCCCTTGTTATGCTTAACAAAGTGTTCCCGGTCACTTAAACCCTCTTCTCTGCTGCCCACGAATCCTGATGTTGGCATTTCCCTCATCCAGTGGAACAATCTGAGACGGGCATGAAGTGCTGTGGCTGTTCAGCCTGCAGGACCCACCACTGCCTCCAGCCCTGTGCCCTATCACAGCCATCTGGCGAGGAGCACCTTCATGCACACAGCTAACCTTTGTCTTCAGGAGCCAACCCCAGTGCTGCCCTGCAGCCTGTGGGTGAGAGCTGTCCTAGTAGCATGGCTAGCGATGTCAGGGGTTTAGCAGCATGCCTTCTGAGGGCCTTGAATGATAGCGTGTAGAGCCCTGGGCACAAGTGGGCTTGTAGGCATTAGTGCAGAGACGGACATCTGTGTGGGTGAACCCCATGGTCTCCCATGCTGAACCCTATGGTGAATGATTACAACTCTGCAGCCTGGAAGAGGGCGCCGCCTGGGGAGGGCGCAGGGTACCTTCCCAGACTGTGCAGGCCAGTTGCCTGGTGGGGTGTCTGAGCTGCAGGTCTGTGTTTGGCGGTGTGTCTGGCTCCTTTGCTCATTTGGGGGGAGATCTGGTTGGAGAGTGTGGCTTCCTGGGAGGAGGCCCAATTCCCAAAGGACCCCATATCCAAATCACACCTTTTCTGTCTGTGCTACCCCGAGGGGGCCTCTCCTCCTCCCACCCTCATCCCAGGCTCCAGGATGAGCCCTGTGGTTCAGGAGAACATTCAGCAGAGCAGAAAGCCCAGAGAGCAGGCCCTGTGCGCCTCTCTGTAGTGGTCAGGAGACGGTCATCCCCACTCCTCTCTGCGTCTCAGTTAGGGCACCTTTAAATTTAAAAAATTAAAAAAAAAAGGAAGTAGAACTAGAAAAAACCTTGGTTGGCACTGACGCTTGTTCTCACCTGCTGCCTCCTCCCCCTCGGCAGCGGCCCCCGGGACCACGTGTTTGTCTACTTCACCGATCACGGAGCTACTGGAATACTGGTTTTTCCTAATGACGAGGTAAGTTTTTCTTAACATCATAAAGACAAATTAGGAGAATGGCAGACAAAACTTCAGTAGTGTCCCGGGACCTGTAACGTGTTCTGGGACCTGTTTGTCATGTCCTGTGAGGGCGGGTCCTGGTGGGTGGCGGGTGAGTGGGGCACCAGCAGCCGAGTCTGTCCCGGTCAGGCTCCCGGCAGGCCCCTTCACGCCCCGGCGTCACCAAGTGTCTCAGCACTTGGCGCCTGCACCGACCCGCAGTAGAGCCAGCCTCTGAGAGCGTGGGCCAGAGGACATGCGAAGCCGCGCCCCCGCCCCCGTCCCGCTTAGTTATGGAAGAAAACACTTGGCCGCATGCTGGGGTAACATTTGCCGCAGTTATGCCTACAGGTTGGCAAATGAGGATCTGTAAAGCAACAATAGGACCTTACTAGTGGGTTTCCCAGCCAGTGGTTCTCTGGGTGTGTTGGTCTGAATATCCGTGTTCTTACCTTTCAGCTCCATGTCAAAGACCTGAATGAAACCATCCAGTACATGTACGATCATAAAAAGTACCAAAAGGTAAGTCAGCACTTGGGGCAGCACTTGGGGCTGCCTGGGGTGGGGGAGCAGCTTGACGAAGGCAGTGGGAATGAGCCCCTCATTCTCGTCAGGCCGCCCAGCTCCGACAGCTGTGCTCTCTGCAGAGTGCCCTTTCAGCCAGTCAGGGAGGCCAGAATTTATCTTTCGTCTTATGGCACTTGAGCCATTAGCTCAGAATCACCAAAGATCTTGTTAAAGCACAGACAGGGGGCCCACTCCCAGAATTTGACTCGACTGTGCAGGCTGGCCTGAGAGTCTGCTTCTCTGGGCGTCCAGGCGATGCTGAGGCCACGGTCCAGGGGCCTCACTCCCAGAGCTGCTGTCCTGGGACTGGGGCCGACTTGGGGCCATCAGGAAGGAAGGTGCCACTCTTGTTTTCTCTTTGGCCCTTGCTCGCCCCCTCTGTAGACGCCAGCCAGGTATATCCACATACATAGCATGTGCGTGTATGGTAACCTGTGGCGTGTCCTGCCTTGGTCTCCCCGTGTTGGTCAGTGAGGCAGCTTTGCTCAACATCATCTAAAGATTCATTTTCTCTGCTTTATTTCACTTGGTAGATACTGAATTCTGTCAGTGATGAAAGTATGTAAATGTGAATAACGCTGTGTAACAGCAGCGGTGCTGCCTCTTACAGCAGAACTATCTCCCAGAAGCAGCCATAAAAGACGCTTAAGAACGGGTCCAGACATGGGCCTCCCTGGTGGCGCAGCGGTTGAGCGCTGGGCTGCGAAGCTGCCCGCAGCCTCTGTAGCACAAGTTCGATTCCCGGCTGCCAGGCGAGGGTCCCACATGGCGCGCAGACCTCTCCTGCCGCCCGCTGCTCCCCTCAGCAGTGTCCTTCTGCCTGCTCTGCTCCCCGCTCTGGCTCTGGTGAATTCTCTCACCCTCCCACGCTTCTGACTGTACCCCAGTGCTTGCATAAATACATAAATAAATCTTAAAAAAAAAAAAAAAAAAAAAAAAAGAACGGGTCCAGACAGCAGGCAGTCCCAGAGCAGCATTTCCCAGAGGACTGGGCCTGCTTAGGTGCGCGCTCACCTGTCTCGTTCGCCCTGCAGATGGTGTTCTACATCGAGGCCTGTGAGTCTGGCTCCATGATGAAGCACCTGCCCAAAGACATCAATGGTAGGTGGTGGGCGCGGGCTCTGGGCCGGCGGGTGAGCGGGTGTCTCAGAAGTGCAGTGGGCGTGAGACACCGGAGCTTGGCAGGGCCCGGACAGCCTGGCGTGCGGGGGTGATGCGCGGCCCACGGCTCCCCTGCCCCTCGCCTAGTGGTCGGGGTAAAGAACGTGCACGTGGGCCTCACACACTCTCCAGGGCCCTGTGAAGCCTCTCAAGCCCCAGTTTATAGTCCAGACCACCATGATCCTCTGTAACGCATTACTTGTGGCCCTCTCTGATCCTCACTCTTCCCTTCTGTAAAATGGGGATAAAGATTGTGCCTTTCTGTTGGCCAAGCCACACTTTCAGTGACAACATTTGTCCAGCACGCCTCACAGCCCATGGCAAGCTGGCTAGTATAGGGCAGTTTCCAGTCACAGTGTTTCTTCAATAAATGTTAACTTCCTCAGCAAACAAAATTAAGTCTGTTCTTCAAGTTTCTGGAGCTGTTAGGACGTTTCAGCTTTACTCCAAAATAGCTTGATGTCTCAATAAACTTGAATGGTTGCTTATGGCTGCAAAAAGTGTCTATCAAACAGCTCCTCTTTCTTCCACGTTCAGTTTTCCACAAGTTACTGTAACGGAGTGAACAGAGCCGGGCGAGCTGCGTTTGCCGCTCTCCTGGCTGAGGAGGCACCAGCCAAGGAGGAGGGACTGAAACTTCCAAGTGGAATGACAGGAGATTAAAAACGTGACTAAACACTGTCTTTAATTCCTCTAGTTTATGCAACTACTGCCGCCAACCCCAAAGAGTCGTCCTACGCCTGTTACTACGACGAGAAGAGGGCCACGTACCTGGGGGACTGGTACAGCGTCAACTGGATGGAGGACTCGGACGTGGTGAGCTCCCGGGGCTGCTGCTCGCGGAGGCGTGGCCACGGCTGGGATGGGCGGAGGACTTGAACGTCTTCATTTTTGCAGGAGGACTTGACTAAAGAGACCCTCCACAGGCAGTACCAGCTGGTGAAGTCGCACACCAACACCAGCCACGTCATGCAGTACGGGAACAAGGTGAGTCGGGAGCCTCGCAGGCTGGCTCACCTGGCAGCGTGTCTCGTGGGGGTGAAAGGGCATTTGACTCTGCCAGTTCAGGTCACGGCCGGGCTTTGATCAGACCTCGATAGGTTCAAACTCATGAAGTTTTGAGACTTCAAGCAACCGGCTTAGCCTCCCTGGATCTGTTGCCTCCTTGCTCATACCTAGTGTACAAGGAGCGCTGAAGAGGTGGTTTGTCTAAAACACTAACGTGGGGGCCTCCCCGGTGGCACAGTGGGTGAGCGCTGGGTTGTAAAGCTGCCCGCAGCCTCTGCGGCGCCGGTTCAATCCCCGGCTGCTCCCCGGCCACCAGAGGAGGGTCCCACAGGGCGCGCAGCTCTCTCCTGCCGCCCGCTGCTCCCCTCAGCAGTGTACTTCGGTCCTTCTGCCTGCTCTGCTCCCCGCTCTGGCGAATTCTCTCACCCTCCCGCGATTCTGACTGTACCCAGTGCATGTATAAACAAAAACAAATAAACAAACAAACAAATAAATAAAACATGCCTCTATAAAAAAAGAAAAAAAAAATTAAAACACTAACGTGGGCCCAGCACACAGTCAGCTGCCCAGTGGGAAGCTGCTCCTTGGGCTTCATGGCCTTGTCCCGGAGAACCCCAGCCCTTGAATTCTCGGGGGTTTCCAGGATGTCACCTTTACCTTTGGGCTATCAGAGACTCCTCCGCACCCCGCTCCAACTATGTCCGGAAGGAACCTAGGTGGTTAGATCAGTCAGTTCATCGGGCTGTCTGGACAGGTCGCAGCAGGTCGCTGCTGAAGGTTGGTGCCTCCGGGGTGCTTCCCTGGGGCTGTGTGCAGGAGGCACGTGGTGTGGGGTTCCCCAAGTGACCTGGCACCATCTGAGAGCTCACTAGCTCAGAGCGGTGCCTTCTAGAGGGATTTGTGAGCCAGCAGCACAGCCACTTTTAGCCCTTCATGGGCCGGAAGGCCTGTGAGCCAGCAGGGTGGGCACAGGCCAGGAGGAGCGCACTTGGCATGCCACGGCCCCGTCAGGCTTCAGGTGCGGCAGAGGAATGATGGAGGAGAGAGAGGGCAAGAGGCCGGTCACTCAGAGCTGGGGGCTTCCTGCGGGTCTCGCCGGGGATGGGAGTGAGGGAGGGAGACCCAGCAACAGTCCCCTGCCCTGGATTTTCCATCCTCTTGACAGTTTCCTCAGCTTTGGCTGTTTCCAGTATGGGCTGAGGAGGCCGGATGGATCTTTTTCACACCAGCACCAGTGTTCTGTCTCTTGGTGGATGTTTTGTTTTGTCTTAGAATTGTTTTTGATTATTCCTGCTTGGTTTTGGAACAAGAATGCTTGTAGCTTTTCTTTGGCTCTTGCTGGGATCCAGTCTGTAGCGGCCTCTGTGGTCAAGCCGCGCCCAGCAGTTAGGCCCTGGTTCCAGCCCAGCTCTGTGGCCTTGGTTCTACCCGGACCTCAGCCCGGACCTGGACAGATGCTGTGCACCCTCCTACTCCTGTTACAAGGACAGGTGGGGCGCACGGCCCGAAGTCATTGCCGGCTGAGACACCCTGGTCCGAGGGCCTTGTGACGGGGGCAGCATTTACTCTCAGATGTGAGGGGACACCCGTCCCTCTGCCCTGGATGCCCGACACCCCCAGAGTTCATCACTGGTGAATTTCAGGTGCTCAGATCTGTTGCCTCGTCCAAGCTGAGGGCCAAACCCGTGTTTTCAGGCTGTGATGTGGCCTTCAGTAGTTCCCGGGCCATGGGTGTGACCTGTGAGGGTACGTCTGGCGCTTCCACTCTGGCCACTCAGACCGACTTTCTCTGCATGTCTCTCCCCAGTCCATCTCCAACATGAAAGTGATGCAGTTCCAGGGTGTGAAGCACAAAGCCAGTTCTCCCATCTCCCTGCCTCCAGTCAAAAACCTTGACCTCACGCCAAGCCCCGAGGTGGTCCTCTCGATCCTGAAAAGGAAGCTGATGAGAACCAATGATCTGGAGGAGTCCAGGAGGCTTGTCAAAGAGATCAATGCACACCTGGAGGTCAGTAGTGAGAAAGGAAGCCTTTCCAGGCCTGCTTCCAGCCCCCAGGCCTGGTGCCGGTGCTCCCTCCATGCCCTCCCCCCGCCCCTCCCCCACAGGCACGTGAGGAGGAAGCCAGCCTTTGTTCTCTGTGTCGCAGAGCAAGTGAGCAGAGCTGCGGTTCCTCCTGGCCCCTCTGGTAGCAGGGGGCAAGGAAACGGGGACCTTCTCCTGCATCCTGCCAGGCGGCTGTGGGGGGGTGGGTGTGGCCCTCCGTTACGCCCGGTTGCTTACAAGACATTTTTATTTTGCTGCTTGACAAGTTTTTAGCTAATCATGTGTCTAAAAATTCCACTCCACAAACATCTCTGCCTTAGGAAGTCACGGCCACAGTCTAGAGTGCTTCCTGAGATGTTTGAGCTATCTCTTCCCATCGCTGAGGCTTCGTAGCGCGTCCAGCCCCACAGCTGCCCTATCTGGACAATCACGTCAGCTTGTTGGGTGGGGCGGGTGCAGCCACGCGGCCAGGGAATCCAGGAACGGGCTCCGAGTGTGCTGGACAGAGGCTGTGCCCCCACCCAAGCCAGCCCGGGGCTGCTCCTGTCCCAGCGTCGGCTCAGCGCAGGCCTCGTGTGCTAGGACAGCCTGAATTTTCATGAAAGATCTTTAAAACCCTCTGTGACCAGTTTTTAACTGATAGCTCACCGTCCTGCTCATCAGGTCTCCACAGCATGCTCCGTGAGCAGGGCCGATGTCTGGGTGTCACAGGTCACAAGGCCAGCCTCCGCCCTCTTAACACGCCTGGACGACGGACCCCAGAGAGCCTTTGGGATGGGTTGTATTGCTATTCGCTGCATTAGAAACGAAGACTGAGATTTTCAAAATACGAACTCATTTAGAAATAACAAGCCATTTTGTGTTAATGCAGACACGTTTTTTAATGAAAAATAGTCATTTTGAGTAACAATTATTTTGCTGCGAAGAGCAGCATTACTCCACCTTTTCCAAGACTCTTCTGCCCAGAGTGATGGCATCGCTGCGGTCACTTCAGCGGATGGGCTCTGTAGTTCTGGCTGGAGTATTTGAGGAAAACCCAGCCTCCCACAGATACCTAGCCGGGAAAGGGTTCTGGGGGCCCCTCGTGCTTCTGGCCCCCTCTTCCGACACACCGTGGGCAGCGAGTTTTAGTTGTGCTCAGACGTGAATTGAAAGACTGGGTGGGGGGGCCTGGAGAGGGGCAGTCAGGGGCCTTGACCCTGACCTTGGTCAGGGGAGCAGCAGCTTCCTCTTAATCATGCCAGTTTTCATCTTCTGGGAAGAAGCTGCTCCCTTTGGGCCCCTCTGTCCAGCTGTTGGGTGCTTTCTAGAATGGACAGAGGTGCCATGAACACACAGCAACTGTCTTTGGGACACAATTTCTGTATCTCCTCCTTCCTCAGAGTGGCCAGGCCTGCTCCTCAGGTTTTGGGATTTACATGTTTCCATCTTGCCAGCAGGGCCCTAAAAGGCCTTTGTGAAGTCTTCTAGTTGTTCCACACACTTCTCTTGCACATCTTTCCCCTTCAATTTTTACCCTTTGGGTAGAAAACCAGCTGCTCAGCAGTTGGGGTTCTGTGGAACCTGCTTTAAGTGAGATGCATTTCCAGAAGATATGTCTCTTCACAGGCCAGGACTGTCATTGAGAAGTCGGTGCAGAAGATCGTCTCCCTGCTCGCGAGGTCTGATGCTGAGGTGGAGCGGCTCCTGTCTGCACGGGCCATGCTCACGGCGCACGACTGCTACCAGGCGGCTGTGTCCCACTTCCGCTCACGCTGCTTCAACTGGCACTCCTCCGCGGTGAGCCCAGACCCTGCGGCTGCTGGCTGCCGAACCCACCTTCTGGCCTCTCTCTGAATCTGAAACCCAAAAGCTAAATTAATATTGTCCACTGGCAGTCAGATCAGATGTATTAACATCTAGAAGGTTCCATCCAGGCTAAGAAACAGTGCGCTCATGTCATAGGCTTTTGATGGGGAGAAGATGAAAGTCATCCAGGCTCACTGGCCCTAAGCCTTGGCCACAGACGCTGAATTGCCCCTGTGGTTGGGAGCGTTTGCCGCTCCTGGATGCCAGGAGCTCTTCACTTTGCTGTCTCTGTCAAGACCCATTCCTCATACCAGCCACCCAGGACTTCTTCCTGTTTGGTCTGTTGTGACCTCTCTCCAAGGCGTACTGATGACGTCAGGCCCTGGCCCGTGGAAGAGAAGCAGGGACCCACTTTCTGCAGGCTGTGGGATGTCCAGTGGGACTCACCCAAAAAGCGCTGTCTGTACTGTGCTGCGTGACTCCTGCTCGGGCAGGGGTGAGCACACGGCTACATCCTCCCACAGCTTCCTGGCTCCCTCACCCTGTTTATATTAAAATATGGCTTTATTGGACACAGCCGCCCTCTCCGTGGCACGCGGAGCCCGGCCCTTTACAGATGCCGCCTGCCTCGGAGCTCTTCTGTCCAGCACGGCAGCCATGGGCCTCACGTGGCTGCTTAAACTTGAATTTTAGATAATTGACGTGGAATAATATTTAAGCCCAGTTCCTCAGCTGCCCGGATCACATCTCAAGTGGTTAGTAGCTGCCAAACATTCCCTGCCTGCAGAAAATTCTTTGGGCCGTGCTGTGAGGCCCATGCTGGACAACTTCCAAGGGTGATCGGCCGGGGACATGGGGGGCAGCTCTCCATTATTAGGATTTTATGTTTTCATTTATTTAACAAAGTATTTTTCTTTATCTATTTAATAATTAAGATTTTCCCATTTAATAAGGGTCTCTGCTTTATTCTCTGGTCTTTTGTGGCCTGTGGGGAGGGCTCACACCCAGTGAACCACTTGGCTCTTTCTTGTGAGGGTTCTCCTACTGCGAGTTCTCAATAGAAACATCCCCGTAACTTCGGTGTCACCTTCCTGTGGCAGTCGGCTTGGCGTTCACTGGCCATCCGTCTCGTCATCGGTGTGTCCCTCTGGGAGTGAGGGGCCCAGAGCCAGGAGCTGGAGGATGAGCGATCCCTGGTACCAGGGGGCAGAGCTTGGGGTTCTCATCACCAGTCCTGCTCGAGGAGGCCTGCCAGGCAGGCACAGGTGCCTTTGTCTTGAGAGATGATCCGTAAATCTCCCCAAATGATCCACCTGTGTGGAAAGGGGGTGCGTGGCCCCCAAAAGCTCAAGAGCCACAGGTCTAGATGCCTCTCCTCTGTCACCAGAGGTGGGAGGCGCCCAAGGTGAATGGATGGAAGTGGCATGAGGTTGATAATGTGTTTCGGTCTGTTTTCCAGCAATACGAGCATGCGCTGAGGCTCCTGTACGTACTGGTCAACCTCTGTGAAGAACCTTACCCAGTTGACAGGTAAGTCAGCGCGGGAACGCTCTGCTCTCCCATCTGCAGGCGGGCAGCCGTCCTGCCAGCTGCTGCTGCGGAGGAATCAATTGAGACGAATCCCCACGGTCATGGTGGGGCGGGTCTGTCACCGGGGCTGCCTGTCACATGTTGGTTTTGTCCTCATTCCCTGGGGATTCGCTGTGGCTCACCAGCATCTCCTGTTTCTTACAGAATAAAGATGTCCATGGACAAGGTATGCCTCTCTAACAACTGAAAGAGCACACCCCGGATGCCTTCCAAGTGTGAACACCCCCGTAGCATGTGCCCTGCTCAGACTGAAGAACCGGAGCAGGAGGGAAGCTGAGCTGCGGCTCCAGGCCTCCTGGGCTCGCGGGCCAGCCACTCCGGGGCCCTGCCAGGCCTTTTACCAGATAGCTGCTCACCTCCGCCTTCTCCCCAACCGCAGGTCCTGTGTGATGCTTGGAAAAAACTCTTTGAGTTTTGGGTGGGCAAAGCTCTGTGTTGAGAAAGGTTTTCATCTTTGCCGATTGTGTGTAATCTTTGCCCAGGACGCTCGCTGGGGCTTCTGTGTCCTGGGAGTCTTTGGTCTGAGGAATTTGAAACGGAAACCTTTAAGAATGATTGTATCGAGAGGGACGTACGCCCCAGATGAAATCTTATTTTTAGAAAATATTAGGAGATTTGATTTGATTGCTTTTGTATTTAATTCCACAACAATGGATAAGTCTTAGGAAAATAAAGATTTATAACTGAGCCTGAGTATTAATTTCTGGCCCCTGACTTGATAGTTATGCTCCTCCTCCTCCTGGTAGGGCTTCCCCTCCCCCTTGTTCTGCTAAGGGCCTCTTTGCACTCCTGGGACTTAGCAGCTTCCTGTGCCTTTGCTACTTGCTGCTCTTCTTGTGCTGGTGTGCCTTTCCCTTCCTCTGATATCCTCAAGGTGGAAGTTCCTCCTTTTCCTCAGAACTGCAGCTTCCTTTTCTTTCCACCCATTATAAGCCCCTACCTCTTACCGTCTGCATTTTCATCCCTTCAGCATGTGTCAGGATCTGCCCTTAGGGAGCTTCTCCTGGGCTAAGGCTTCCAGCCTTGACGTTGCTTCCCTTGGCCCAGTGCTCCCCACATAGGGAGGTATTTGAGATGTGTTTGGTTAATTATGTGCAAGTGACACTAACGATACTCAGGCCGTGGAATATTATGCAGTGAGAAAAAGGATGAAACACTGATATGTGCTACAAGATGAAGGCAAGTGAAAAGCCAGTCAGAAAGAGCATGTCTTCTGATGCCGTCCATCAAATGCCCAGAATAAGCAAAACTAGAAGCCAATCTAGGTATGTGGTGCCTAGGGGTGGGGAAACAGTGATACCGATGGTGCGAGGCTGCTCTGTGGTGATGGTTGTACAACTGAATATACTAGAAGATGTGAAATTGTGCTTGTTAAATGGGAGCATCATGTGGCTTGTGACTTGTATGTCAACAAAATTATTTTTAAGAATAAACCACACAACTGTCGAGAGAGAGAGAGAAAGCAAAGAAACAAGTAACACTAGCCCCTGACACGTAGGACAGCCTGCCTTTATGTAGCGAGGCCTGTCTTGCTCAGCCGTGATGGACCCTTTACAATTCACAGTTCTGAACAGGAAGCTGAGATCCTGGCAGGTGGTGTGATGCCTGTGGCAAGTTCAAAGTGATACTTACCTTCCTAATGGGCTCATATTTTTTTATCAGCACAGATGACCTGAGTGAGTCAGTTGACTGCAGGATAAAACAAGCTGTCGTCCTATAGATTTGGGGGAGCTGTACGGTTTTAGGTAATAAGTACGAGCCACTCAAGCATAGCGCCGGGCACGCCTGCGGGCTGGCTGAGGTGTAGAGAATGCAAGTACTGAAAAGTGCAGTTTTTAAAGGGAGTATCTTAAAAGACCTCAGGATATTGGTGGTTAAGAACCCCGTACCACTGCTAACTTCCCATGGTGCCCTGCTTCTCTTTTTTGTCTTTCCTATAGAACCAAAGTCTACTTATCTACTTAATAAATACAGAAATGGGAGTGTGGGTGGCTCTAAACGTTGAAAGCAGCCATGTTTCATTTCTCAAATAAATACGTTTCACAAGTCACAACGCCTTGTCTCTTTTTCTTCGAGTTATGGAGGCTTGTGGACCCCAGTAGACATGGGCTTTCTCCCGTGTTCAGCCATTTTCTATTCGATTTCTAACAAAGTGACTTTTCTCTGTGTATTACAACTAGGACCAGCACCCCCCGCCCCCTCCATTTCATCCAAGACGTGCTAACGTGCACTTCTGGCATGAGAGGTTGCTGGTACAGAGACGTTTGCAGCAAAATGTGGTCATTCCCTCCTCCCCGAAATCCCCTGAGTCTAGTATTCACACTCGGCCGTCCTTTCTGTGTACTTACACACCTGCACAACACGTGCTTTTTTACTTTTTCCATGTAAAGTAAAACAAAACCACACGAAACAAACGTTTAGTGAACGGCAAGGTGAGACCCTTGTGACCACGCCCAGGTCCAGAAGTAGAACTTCACCGGGTGTAGGCGGCCGTGGCGCAGCCTGTTGGGCCCACCTCGCCCGTGCTTGGCTGTCCTCAGTGCTGCAGGGAGACTGGCTCCCGCGACTGGGGCGGCTTGGTAAGTCCAAAGTGTGCGGGTTGGAGACTCGGAAGGTTGCAGCTCCAGACCTGACTCTTGCTCGGGGGAAATCAGTCTTCGTTCTTCTAAGACCTTCACCTGATTGGATAGGACCCACCCATGCTGTGGGGGTAACCGCTTCCACTCAGTCCACCGGCTTAAATGTCACCCTCATGCAGAAAACATCTTCACAACAACCAGAATCGTGTCTGACACATCTCTGGGCACTGGGCCCAGGGGTGCTGGCATGACCCAACTGAGTTGCCACAGCAAATCGACCATCCCAGACCCCCAAATCCTTCTTTGTGCTCCATCCCGGTCCCAGCTCACACCCCGGCTCCAAGTAACCACCTCCTGTGTTCTCTGTGACTTCATCACGCGCGCGCCTGGGCACCGGGTTCGTCTCGCCCACTGGAAAAATGCTTCTGTCACCTTTCATCTACAGCCTCTCCTCCCCTTGCATTTCCAGTTTCTGTTGAAGAAACCAGACCATCGAGCTGTGGCGTTTCTCAATCAGGATTGTGTTGACTGCACCCTCGCAGCGCTCTTGGTAAGTTCTCACACCTCACCTCCCCAGCCGCAGCGGACCCGCGGGAGAGCCGGCTGCGTCAGTCCCGGGGCACGCTGGCTGATTTCCACTCTTTTTTGGATGTTACTTGCTGTCCCGTACTTAGAGCCGTGAATTCACGGCGACACGGCAGAATGGAGACATTCTTGTCCTCTGTTTTCATGTATTTATTAGGAGACGCTTCCCCTTACTCCCATACCCACCGGTGTAGCGCGGGCAGGAACAGAGGGCAGATGCCAGTCCGTCCTCTTATGTTCCTGATTTTTTAAATCGGCTCCCTTTCTTCCACACACTGACCAAGGAAGCTTTCCAAACGCCATTTTGATCTCACAGGTGTAGCCGTATCTATGGGTTTAAGTCCATTACATTTCTTGTCTTCATCGAAGCTCAAATTGTGCATCTTTGACCGGTGGAATCCTCCATGACCCGAAGCCCTTTGACGCGCCCCTAGTAAACGTGAACAGCTTCCTTCCATCGGGTATGTCAAATGTCCCACCCCTATCTTATACGTTTTCTTGGCCCCAAAGTTGGGGGTCAGCAATTTCTCCAGGAAACCCTGATTTCATGTCACAAGAAATAATATTTCAAGACAACCTGAGCGCCAAGAGTGCTTGTGGCTATGCTGCCAACCAGGTCCATCCAGGAGCCCCGGCTCGGCCTGCCCCACCCCGCAGCTGCAGGCTGCAGGGCCCCACCCTCTCGAAATGGCCAGCCCAGGGCCTCCCCAGTGGCGCAGGTGGTTGAGCGCAGCGCTGTGAAGCTGCACACAGCTTCTGCAGCGCCGGTTCAATCCCTGCCAGCCGCGGAGATGCCCACATGGTGAGGCAGACCTCACCTGTTGCGCCCGCTGCTCCCCTCAGCAGTGTATTTCGTCGGTCTGCCTGTTCTGCTCCCCGCTCTGTCTCTGGTGAGTCCTCTCACCCTCCTGCACCTCTGGCCTGAACCCCAGTTCTTATATAAATAAATCTTTAAAAGAAGGAAATGGCCAGCCCAGCGGACAGCACACTCTTCTTACATTTCCTCTGACTCTTCGCTTTCTTTCATCTTCCTTGTTAAGAACTAGTTAGACTTCACCCCACTTGCAAGCTGACAAGTTTACCTGGCCTCGGCTTGAGGGTGCAGGCGGATGATACGAGCCTCCCGGGATAGAGACAAAGGACCTTATCTCTTCTGACACATGGGTGGCGTTACTTTGCTTTTGCTTCGACTCTCCTGCCTGCCAAGAGGCCCAAGGGTGACGTGGAGGTGGCCAGGACAGGTGCCTCGCACTCCGGCGTCTGGATCAGACTGAGAAACCTTGCGCACAGAGACCTCCAGCTGTTCAGAGAAGGCTGCCGAAAACCTGGGAGGCGCGCCTGTCTTCCACGGTGACAGGCGTAATTTTATTATCCTGGTGTGTGAGGGGGAAGCTGCTTTCTTCCCAGGAGAGAGACATGACCTCTCTTCCAAGACTTAAAAAGATGGTCTGGATAAAGCCGCAGTGGCCCTTCCCCAGATGCAGAAAGGCCAAGGCCCTGGAGAGCCGCTCTGAGCTGTGCCAGCTTCTCTAGCCCCGCCTGCTCCTGGCCAGCTCCTTGTCCTTCAGACCCAGCGTGGGCATCCCTGCCTCCTGGCAGCCCTCTGGTTCCTGCAGCTGCCTTACAGGCCCCATGACACCCTGGGCCTACCTACTGCTGTTGTCCCATTAAACTGACAACAGGCCCACGGCTCAGCCACCCCCAGATCTGAAATCACCCGTGCGTCCTGCAGACCATACTGCCCCGCGAGAGGTGGCGTCCCTTCCTCTGGGTGCCCACAGTCCCGCCCAGGGTACCGTCCCCCTACACCCTCAGTCATGTAACTGTGGCAGTGAACCCCGCCCCCTGCCCATCTGCACTACCCTGGACTGACTTTTCAATAGATCTTGGGGCTCCACGCTGCCCCCCGCCCCGGCTCATACGGGCGCTGCGGCAAGCCTGGGACGCCAGGCCCGAGCGCGCCCATTTTGAGAATGGGGAAGCAGCACAGAGACGGGAAGCAGCGTGTCGAGGGCTGGCAGCTGGCCCCCAGCCCGGGCTCCTGACCCTTCCCCTGTGCTGACTGGCGGTTCTGACTTTGCGGTGGCCGGGCAGCGGCCGGGCCCTTGGCCTAGGGCCGGGAGGGTGCAGGGGCGGTTCCTGGAAAGGGCTGCTCAGCACCCTCTTCCCGGTCGATAGCGAGCCATGGGGGGTGCCAGGGCAGCCTCTGCTGTGAGCTGGCATTTTTCCACGCGATGCCTGGCTCCATGTGACCTTCCTGAGAAGGAAGGGCCTGGTTCCTGCCACAGCTGCCCCGTCTCCCCACCTCAGATGACCCGGGTGAGCAGAGAGTGACCTCGGCCCAGGATTCTGGCCAGAATCAGCACACGCGGCAACCGCATCTGCCAGCGGGCGTCTTCCAGACGGGCCTGGGGATGCCTGGTGGGAAGCGGGGCATGGCAGGCTGGGCTGGGGGCTAGGGGCCTCTCCACCACGCCCCGAGGACCTCCCGCACCTCCCTGTCCCTCCTCCTTCTCAGGCCTTGCCCTCCTCTGCCCGTCTCCCTGCAGGCCTGGCCCCCGCCCACGGCAGAGACGCGCTCACGCTAGGGCAGGTGGGGCGCACGCTCAGGGTTTCCCAAGGGATCTTTACACACGTGGGCAGTTCCGAGACTTTCCCCAAAGGGCAGGACTCCCCTGGCAGCTGTCGCTCATGGGCAGCCGCGGGGCGGGAGCAGCAGGCAGGCCCGTGGCTTCGGCGGCACTGCCCGTGTGGAGAGGAACAGGGGGCCCTCGATGGGGGGAGGGCAGCCTCGCGCAGCGCAGCCTCGCTCTGGCCTCTAGCGCGCAGGTCGCCTGCCCCAGGTTCCACGGTGTCCTCCAGGTTGGCAGGTGGAAGCCCCAACCCCACGTATCCTGAATGTGACCGGAGACAAGGCCTGTCACGAGGTAACTGGTTCGCAGGCCCGTGTCCTTACCAGAGAGTGACCCCAGGGACTCCCCGTGCAGAGAAAAGGCCACACGGGGACGCAGCGGGAAGTGGCGTCCGCGAGCCGAGCAGCAGCCCGTGAGCAGCACGGGAGGTGCGGGAAGGGGACCGTGTGCACAGCAGCTGGCTGGGGTCACGGCTGGGTGTCCGTGGCTTTTGGAAATGTGCCTGTTTCCTCCTACCTGGTCCACGGATGCCCGGCCTGGGGAGTCCTCCAGGCCTGGCTGTATCCGGGAGCACCCCCTGCATCTCACACAGGCCTGGGGCCAGAGTCCGCAGACGTTTGTTGACCGACTGAACGAGCTGGCGGATGCCCAGAGACTCAGCTAAGTCCTGGTGCCCTGCGGCTGCAAGGGAGCCGTCCGCTGTCTTCTGCCGTTTCCCTGGACCTGCGGCAGGGCTGGCACCGAGCAGACACTCAACAGACAGGGGTCTGTGATCAGTGCTGAGGACACGGACACTAACCGCCCAGCTCTGGAGGAGGAAGCAGAGGTATCAACCCACAACTGCCATCCAAAGGGTAACGCTCGTCAGAGGGACAAGCCCGGGGCGCTGCGGGAACATGGACAAGGGGTACCAGGCCCGCCTCGGAAGTCAGCCGGGAGCCAGTGGGCTCTGAAGAAGGGGCGGGGGCTGAGTGACTCCTACAGGGAATGGCATTCCTGGGGTAGGCAGCAGAAGCACGAGGGTGAGAGATCATTCTGGAAGTGACACGCGGGGGCCACGGCCTCTGGTGGAAAGTGTGGGGGCCTCCTGCCCCCTCGCTGCAGAGGGGCGCAGGCTGCGACTGGCCGCTGGGCAGCGCGCGGCCCCTCCCGAGAAGGCGATGCCGCTTTCAAAAAGGCTTTTATTAAACTCCCCAGGGAGCTTCTGGCACCACCACGGCCACCTCGGGGCTGGCCCCCCGGGCGGGTCAGCGCGGCCCTGGGGCGGAGTCTCTCTCGGGTGCCCGCGAGGGGCTGCCGGTGGGTGCAGGCTCCCCACGGGGCTGGGGGACCCCTCTCCTCGGCACACACCCCGAGGCCCTCCTGAGATGCCGGTGGGTCCCCAAAGTCCCGGGTCCGTGCTGGGAGCTCCGGTGGCCGCTGTGGCCAGGCCGCTCGGGGGACAGTCCCGGGGCGGGGGGAGCCGCGGGGCGCGGGGCCGGCCGAGGCGGGGCGGGGCGGGGGGCCGGGCGGGGCCCCCCGCGATCGGCTCACAGGAAGTTGGGCTCGCGCACCACGAGGCAGGGCGGGCCGCCGCCGCCGTCCAGGGGCCGGTACACGAAGTGGAAGTCGCGCTTGGGCTCGCTGCGCAGCAGGTAGCCCTTGATGCGGTGCGGCAGCGCGTCGTCCGCCAGCTGGAAGCCGCGGCCGTCCACGAGCACGAAGAGCCGGTGCTCCCGCGGCTGCGCCACCGCGAACTTCTCGGCGCACTGCGCGCACAGCGCCTCGGCCGGGGTGTCCGCGCGCGACGCCAGCGTGCGCGCCTGCCGCTCGGGCTCCAGGAACGACACGCAGATGAAGTCCTGCGGGGACGGCGCGGTCACCGGGCGGCCCCCCCTGCGGGCGGGGCGACCCCCCCAGCCGCGGGCGCGCGCCCCCTGCGAGGCCACGTCGGGGCGCCCCGGAGGCGAGCGCGCGCCCTGGCGCTTTGCCAGCCACGCCGTCTCCGCGCCCCCCGGGCCTCCGCCCCCCGGGCCCCCGCCCCCCCGCCCCGCCCCCCGGGTCCCCGGCCCCGGGCCCCCACCACCCGGGCCCCCCGCCCCCGGGCGCGGCGCTGGGCGTCGAGGGCCGCGTCAGTGAACCCCGAGGAGCAGCCCCGCCGCAGCGGCCGCGGTCCGGCTGGGGGCTCGCGGGGGGCAGCCAGCCCCAGGGAGGCGCAGGCGGCAGGGAGGGGAGGGGGGCCGGGGCAGGGGTGAAGCAGCGTCGCGGGGCCCAGGCCGGAGCCCGCACGTGCCCCGCGACACGCGCCGCCCCCACCAGCTAGAGGGGTGCGCGGGGGAGCCCCCGCCGGGCTCCGCCTCTGTGCCCGCTCGCGGGGCGGCTCGTGCGGCTGGACCTCCCCGGGCCTGTGCCTCCTCGAGCGGCTCCTCCCCGCCTGCACCCCGGCCTGAGGGCGCGTGTGCGGGGAGCTCGGGGGCTGCAGGAGGCCCCCACCTTCCCCCACCCGCAGCGCAGCTGGGACACGGCGGGGTGCTGCCCTTGTGGGGGGCCGGCGGCAGCACCGCGGCGAGCAGAGGGGCGCCTGCTCGGCGGGAATCTCCCCTTCTTCCCGCCAGGGGGGAGCCCAACCTCTTCCTTGGGTCTGCGTGGCGGCCTGCACCCTCCCTGCCTCCTGTTCAGGCCTCCCAGGTGCCCTGCACACCTGCCGAGGAGCCGAACTCTGAGCTTTCACTCCCCGAGGAGTGAGGGGCCCGGGAGGGATGGCCAGTGGTGCTCCCCACACCCCAGAAATAAGGCTGGGGGGCTCCCTTCCCCCATCCCTGGCCTCTCTCTTTAGCGTCACCTCCCCAGGGGTGCCCTGCCCGGCTGAGCCCTGGGGTCCTCCAGGGTGGAGGCGAGAAGTAACGAGTCCCTGGGTCAGGCCTGACCCAGAGCGCCAGGTGCCCAGAGCTGGGGGGGAGCCGGGTGTCTCCGGGGAAGGGGGGAGCTGGCTGGCGCCCTCATTTGCTGGCTGACACTGGCCTGAGAAGACCAGTTGTGGATACTTCTCCGCAGTTCCCAAAGTCAGTGATGCCAAGTGAGCAGCTTGAAGTTGGCCACGGTGGGCGTAGTTACATCATGGACACTGACAGAGGGAAAAGCCTACAACGTGCTGGAGACAGCACTGATGGCAGAGGAGAGGGGCCTGGGCCTAGAACACCAGCCCGGAACAGGACCGGGTACTAGAACCAGGGCGCACCTGGGCCACCGTCCGCCTGTGCTGACAGCAAAACTGAGTTTCAAAGAGGGGCGGGGACTGCTCAGGGCTGGGTGCTGATCTCGAGCCTCTTGCCTTCAGGGCCTGGGCTCAGCCATCTTGGAAGCCAGAAGTGGAGCTCAGGTGCAGTGTGCTCCGGGCGCGGGTGGGCGTGAGGCTGCTCAGCTGTTATAGCTCCACATGGCAGCCCGGCTCCCTGTCCTCTGCTCCGCGCATAGGCTAGTCCTGCGTCCCCCCAGATCCTGGGCTTGGGCCCTAAGACATGTCCTCCAAAGACCACAGCTTCCCGCATGGATGGGGACGGCCCGGGCGACGTGTGCGCCTCAAGGGGAAGTGCCGCAGGAGGCACAGGGGACGGCGGGTCTCACGCAAGCCGTAGGGATGGGGCTCTGGGGACGTGGTCAAGGAAGATTTGTCAGAGGAGCGGTGGCGGCTGGAGACCACGGGAGGACACGCCCGCCCGGGCAGAGTGAGCGCAGCGTGTTCTGCAGTCGGGGGTAGCGGGCTGGGGTGTGGGGGTGACAGGAGTGGGGGAGGAGACAGGAAACAGTGACTGGAAAACAGTTTGTGTAGAGAGAGGTGGGGAGCGCCGGGTGACTGGCTTGGAGGGGCAGGCCAGGGGCAGCCAGCAGGCCAGGGGCAGGCCAGGGGCAGGCCAGGGCAGGCTAGGGGCAGGCCAGGGCAGGCTAGGGGCAGGCCAGGGGCAGGCCAGGGGCAGGCCAGGGCAGGCCAGGGCAGGCTAGGGGCAGGCCAGGGCAGGCTAGGGGCAGGCCAGGGGCAGGCCAGGGGCAGGCCAGGGCAGGCCAGGGGCAGGCTAGGGGCAGGCTAGGGGCAGGCCAGGCAGGCTAGGGGCAGGCCAGGGCAGGCTAGGGCAGGCTAGGGGCAGGCCAGGGCAGGCTAGGGCAGGCCAGGGCAGGCCAGGGGCAGGCTAGGGGCAGGCGGACTCTTGCAGCTGCTGCACTTGTCCAGAGACGGAAGGTCAGGGGTGTGGATCAGCCCCCCAGCTTGGACTGCAGTGACCACATGCCCATCCCCAGCCCCGGCTGTGCCAGGACAGAGCCGGTGCCGCGGACTCTTGGAGAAAAGCCTCTCCCCCCCCCCCCCCCGCGGTGGTGTCCGCGCCCCGACGCCCGGTGACCTCCCTCGGCCCGGCGCCCGGCCCGGCACACGCCGGCGGGCGGAGCTGGTGTCCCGCTCCCGAGCCCGCGGGCAGAGGGGATGGCGGGGCCCCCGCCGCCCCCGGGGTCCCCGGCGCACCTGCACGGAGGAGCGCGAGGCCCGCGCCTTGTTGAGCGTGCGCCGGCGCTCCCAGCGGTGGATGGAGTCCTGCACCTCCACGCTCAGCTGCCGCGTCACCGTGATCTTGTCGTAGTTCTTGATGTGCTCCAGGGCGCCGTAGGTGGTGGTCAGGTAGTAGGAGCCTGCGGGAGACCGGCGCCTGCGTGGGGCGGAGCTCGGAGCCCCGCCCCGCCCCCGCCCCACCCCGCCGCGGCCGAGCCCCGCCCCTCGACCAGGCCCCGCCCACCACCGCGCCGAGCCCCGCCCCTCGCCCAAGCCTCACCCACCGCCGCGGCCGAGCCCCGCCCCTCGCCCAAGCCCCACCCCGCCGCGGCCGAGCCCCGCCCCTTGCCCAGGCCGGCCTCCCCCACCACCCCCGCCGCGGCCGGGCCCCGCCCCTCGCCCAAGCCCCACCCACCGCCGCGCCTAGCCCCGCCCCTCACCCGAGCCCCGCCCCCGCCCCCTGGCCTCTCGGCTTCCCATGGCAACCGCGTGGCGCCCCGCAAGGCCCGGCCCGGCCCCGCCCTGAGCCGGGGCGCGCTCACGTGTGGAAGGAACCAGAGTTTCAAACGAGTTTTCAAATGTCTCACAGAGGATCCGCAAGAACCCAGGGGATGTCGGGGGAGAAGGGCGGCCCGGAGGCATGGGCGGGCGGGGCCTGCTCACTGTGCGCGGGCACACACACACACACACACACACGCGCACACACACGCACGCGCACACACCCACACACCCACACACGCACACGCACACACACACACCGCGCACACACGCACACACGCACACCGCGCACACACACACACACACACACGCGCGCGCGCACACGTAAGCACACGCACGCACACACTCGCGCACACACATACACGCACACACACCCCCAAAGCAATTTTAAAGAAGTGGAGAATATTGTAATTGTGGTTACACGGTTACTTAAAGATTTAAAGTAAGTGAAAGAGTGACTGGCTCATTTCTCATTAAAAAAACCCTTTAATTAATTCACATGAAATTTTAATACCTGGTGTTTGCAGTTTTGAGATAAAAGACCAGCCAGACGCACACGGGGCACCTCCTCACCTCTGAGGGCTGTGAGGGAGGCACCTGGCTGAAGGCCTGGCCTTCCCAGCCCTTTGGGAGGCAAGAGGGTGACTTTTGACATGAGGTCAAAATGCTAGTGGCCCGCCCGAGTCCCAGCTTCTCTTCCTAAATAACTGAACTCTGCTTTCTGGGGAGAGGGGGGGCAGGGGACGGATTAACATTCACACGATGCCCTTCCACTCTGGGTACAGGCAGGAGACCCCGTCCTGATACGTGGAAGTCCCTGGATGGAAACTTCAGGAAAGCCCTTTGAAAGGGCCAGCCTCAGCCCATCTCTCCCCTTGGGTGTTGCCCAGCCCAACCCCTTCCTCCCGCCTGGAATAGAGAGAGGAGCCTGGAGAAACAGCGGCTCTCTTGTGATCAGAGGCGACAAGCACAAAGAGGGATGGAAAGAGCTGGGCCCACAATTTCCCACTGGCAGGGCTAAACCTGCCGTCGCTATCAGTGCTCACCTCAGAATTTCTTGGTGTGAGAGATCTACCAGCCCCCACTCTGATTAAACTGCTATTAATTACATCAGAAGTTATTCGCAGCCCAAAGCATTCCTAACCCCTGCATCGGATGAAGCTGCCTAACAGACCTACAGATCCCACTACAGGAAAAGCCCACAGCCCGCAGGGGGTGGGGAGCGAGACGAAGGGCTGGTCGCCACGGGCCACGCCCAGTCATGCAGAGAGCAGTGCAGGAAGGACTTTTTTTAAAAATAAATATGTCAAGGTTAACACGGAATTTGTCCTTCGTGAGAGAAGAGCCACTAAACTAGTCTCGCGTCCCCCCTTCTGGCTGAGCACAAGGCCCACATGTTCCAGGAAGGCTTCTGTGTTCTCTCACCCTTGCTGTCTGGGAGCAGCTGGTCTCTTTGGGGTACCTCCATGCTGCTTTCCGTCGGCTCCCCAATGAGCGACAGAGTGCAGCGTGCGGGTTGAAAATATTCCCTTTTGGCGTCAGAGAGCAGGTCAGGTCTTGCCCTCAGCAGCCAGCCTCGTGATGTCTGGTGCGTTACTGTCCTCTCTGCCTCAGTTTCCTCATCTGCAACGTCCCCCACCCCCATGTTGGCATGAAAAGTAAATGCGATGAATATCACTAAGTGTATTGCTCTGCACCTTGTGAGTGATTGTGGTGGTTAGGTGACCCAGGGGAGGTGCTCTGGAGGTTTCTCAGCCTCTCTGGTGAAGGGAACCCCCCCAGCAGCGAGTCCTCTCTGCTCCAGCCCCCTGTCTCCCTGGCCTTGGGGACACCCCTGCCAGCTTCTTCCATCCCCAGGATGGGCCCTGCAGTGCCTGACGTGACCGCTAGGTGGCAGGCGATCCCGCTCAGCGCGAGCTTGGGAGCAGGTTCTTCTCCTGGAGGACAGTGTTGTCCTTTGACGGGAAGGACGCACTGCCCTTATTGAGATATCAGCCCCGCAGAGCCAGCCCTCAGCTGAGGGGGGAGGAAGTGTGAACAGGAGGCCATGAGGGAGCTTCTCAGGGGCTTGTCCTAGGAAACGGGGTGCTCAGGCTTTGGACAGGAAGCCGGCCCTACTCAGCGCCCTGGATGGAGCCTCCCTACCTCCCACTTGATTCCATTCTCTCCCCCTCAAGCTGCAGGGCCTACAGGAGACAGGCCCGTGCTGCCTCTGCCACCCCCACCCCTGTGGTGCTTCTGTGTGCCTGCTCAGGGCTGGGGAGACCTGGGAGACTTGAGGGGGAGGCCCCAAAGTGTGGGGCCTCCATTCATTCTCACAAGACTGCCAGCCTTGCCGGGCTCGCCCTGTCCTGAAGGCACGGGGTCTGGCACAAATAGGGGCCCGCTGAGTAGCTGCTTGCTGCACGGATGAATGAGTGAGTGGACAGATGGAGGGGCGGGTAGGTACGTGGGTAGTGGATGGAGGGAGGGGTGGGTGGATGGGCAAATTTATGGATGTGTCGGTGGGTGGATGGGTGGGTAAGCGGATGGACAGGTAGGAGGTGGAGAGAAGAATGAATGTGTAGGTGGCTGGAGAGGTAGATGGGTAGGCGTGTGGGCAGGTGGGCGGGCGGATGGACGGGTGGATGACTGAGTGGATGGATAGATGGGGGTGGACGGATGGATAGGTGGGTGGGTGGGTAGGTGGGTGGCGGCAGTGGGTGCATAACTGGATAAATGGATGGGTGGAAGGTGGGTAGATGGAGGTACCGGGTAGCAGATAATCACAAGAAATCACCCTTGACTTCTACTGAATTCCCGCACCCCCTGGAAGGCAGGTTATTCCAACTGCAGGACAGATTTAACTAAAGAGAGAAAAACAGCACTGGAGGCCCCAGAGCACAAGGCAAAGTTATATATGGCAGCAAACGTCATGGCTTTACATGCTCCCTGGAGCTTCTAGAACTCACAGCCACGTCAAACTGTCACCCCAGAGACTGACACAATCTAAAAATGCAAACAGATGCAAAGAGGGCAGGCTTATCTCAAGAACCACAAAGCCCACAGGGGACACTGGGGCCCGAGAAGTCCTCTCCATCCTTTGAGGCCCTTGTCTCAGCCTAGAAGGCTCAACGCTCCCTCAGAGCCAATATCCGGGCTGGCTGGACCTTAGGGATTCTTGGTGGAGGGGGCTGAGGCTAACTGGGTGGGAGGAAGTGGCGGGAAGGAGGAAAGGGGAAGGGAAACCAAGGTAGGTGGAGCAGAACACTCATGCCGACGTCCTCCTGGGGTGTGCGGGACCCTTGGCCCACGGCCTTAACCTCCTCCCACTGAAAGAAGCCCTGGCCCGGGGCTGTAGGAGCCTGGCGCTGAGAACCCTCAGCATTGCTGCCTGCCACTGCGCTGCTAGCAACTGCTGTTCCCCCTGCTGAGGATGCCTTTCCCTCTTTATCAGACTGGCTCCAGTTCATCTTTCAGTGCTTCGCTCAGGCAGGTGTCCCCTCCTCCAGGAAGCCTGCCCTGCTGGCTCAGCCTGGATAATACGATCCTGTACCCTCTGGATTTTCCACCATCCCAGCACTTGTCAAGCAGTGGTGACCTGGTCTCCTTACTGGCCTGGCTCCCCTGTTAGCCTGCACGTTCCCCCAGGGCAGGACCCAGGCTCCTCCCTTTCCAGCTCTCCCTCCTGCTGCCTGCTTGACAAATTCACATCATGCAGACACACCCAGAAGCAGCCAAATAATAAGTTTCCTTGGGCTCAGTGGGATCTGGCATCTGGGAGGTGCCCATTGGGCTGCCCAGCTTGCCAGGTGGGTGACGGCAGGCATGGGCCTGGGCTGGTGACTCACCCTCCCCCAGCTGCAGGGCGGGGTCCATGAGCTCCATCATGTACTCCACGTTGAGGAGCATCTCCGAGAGGTTGCTGCGGGCCAGCACGTACATGAGCACGGGGAGGAAGTCGTCGGCCCCGTAGGGCTTTCCTGGGAGGAGGAAGGAGGCAGGAGGTGGTGAGTGCGGGAGGGAGAGGCGCTCCTTGGAGCTGGCCCCAGCCTGGGGAGGGGAGCTGTGGTTGGCAGGGCAGGAGGGTCACCCAGCGAGGGCAACCTTCCCGCTTTCTCAGGATTCCAGAGCAGGACGACCCCCCACCGGCCTTCCCTGGGAAGCTCGAGATGCAGTCGGGGTTCAGGCAGAAGGAACTGAGGGGTATCCCTGCTCAGTGGGCAGGTCCCGGCCCCTCCCTTCCCAGCTCGCCCCTCCACGGCTTGACAGTCAGTTTCACATCACACAGACACACCCAGAGGCCCCTGAGTAACGTGGGGCTTTTCTGGGAAGGTTCCCCCTAGCACCGTCTTTCCACGTCAGATCGGAGGCCTCCCTCCACCGAAAGCACTGGCTGGACACCCGTCCACCCTCCTCTTCTTGGGCTTCCTTGAAGGGACACGTGTCCCCAGGGAGCACCTCCCTGCTGCTCCGTGGGTGGGAGTCGCGCCCGGCTCAGCACACACACCTGCACGGTAACAGCGGAGCCAGGGGCCCGCCTCGCGGAAGAGGCAGGCGGAAGGCAGGTCTCTGAAAGGACCAACTGGCAACACAACATCTAAGTTGGGACCCGAAGGGGAAGAATTCCAACAGGGACAGGCCAGGCCCCCGGGCTCCCGGGGTGCATGCTGGTATGCAGGGTTCCTGGAGAGTGAAAGACTGGCCACGCAGCCTTGCACAGGGGGACTGGCCATGCGGGGTCCCCAGGGGCTCTCTTACCTCTTTTTTTTCTGTTTTTAAAGATTTATTTATACAAGAACCGGGGTACAGGCCAGATGAGCAGGAGGGTGAGAGGATTCACCAGAGACAGAGCAGGGAGCAGAACACTGCTGAGGGGAGCAGCGGGGAGACAGGAGAGGTCCGCCGCGCCATGTGGGACCCTCGCCGTCTGGCAGGGATCGAACCGGCGCTCCAGAGGCTGCGGGCAGCTTCACAGCGCTGCGCTCAACCGCCTGCGCCACCAGGGGAGGCCCCTACTTGATAAGTTTTATAAAGGCTTTTATAAAGGTGATGATGGGGAAATACACAAGATAAAACAATAAGATCTAAATAAAAAAGCGAACATACAATGAGCAGCAGCACTGTATGCTTTAAGAACAATGAAAACACACATAAGCAAGAACCCACACAACTGCTCTTCTCAGTGCCACAAACGGGGCTTCGCGTTTCCTAGTGGCCACGGTGAAGAAGAAAACACAGCTACAGCCTCATTGTCTAGGAGGAGAAAAAACACTCATGTCTTGGGGGAACCAAATAGTATTTCTAACCCTTAAGGTTACAATAAAAATTTTCACCTGTAGCTTCACTTGGGGGACACCACTGGCAGGCCCCTGCACACACACGGGGTACATTTCGCAGTGATTCTCATTGTCTTGCCTCCAGGGCTGCTGAGGGTAGGGCAGCAGGGTAGGGCAGCAAGTGTCAGAGTTAACGCCGTAGGTGCTCATCTGTTCCTCACAACCAGGGCATAAATACATGCTTTCTGGCCCACCTTGCTAAAGAAGAGACGGAAGTTCGGAGAGCTTGGGGGACTACCTTGTCCGCATTTGAGTCCAGAGAGACCTGCGGTGGCGAGCTGGGCCTCTGGCCTCGGGCCCGGGTTCCCAGTCACTAGCTCTGATCCTAAGAGGTTCCTTCTCTCCTCCCACCTTGGCAGGGAGTTTGGAGAATGAAATGAGGTTTGAGGATTAAATGAAATGATGTGTGTGGTTCATGCTGTGTTGGGGCCTGAGGCCAAAGGAAAACTGTCTTCCTAGCAATACCAAGATAGCCCCTCATTTTGAACCAAGTCGGAAAAGGGCATGAGCGCCCCACAGAGCACGATTGTATGTAAACCCCGGGGTCGGCCATGCGCTCGTGTGGGCCTCGGGCGCGCCGGCTGATGGAGATGACTGCTGCGTGATAACACAGGGTCCGAAAACAGAGGCCTGTCTTTGCTTCAAATGTTGATATTTTGTTCATCAGGGATTTTTTGTCTTAATTTTTATTTTTTAAAACATTGCATTAAAGTGTTACTGTATCCTACCACTTGACGCCACCATGCTACGCCCAGGTCCCTCCCTTGAGAAGTGGAAACCTGGTCACACAGACTTGTGCACAGCTGTTCACTGCAGTGGGAGGCAGAGTGGCCAAAGGCAGAAACAGCCAGAAGGTTCATCAGCTGGTGAATGGATTGGTAAAATCTGGCCTATCCAGACAAGGAACACTGTTTATTTAAAAATAAAAAAGACCATCTTGTACATAGTGAATAATTTTACTTCTAATGAAATGCCCACGAGGAGAGAAGCAGTGGTGCCCTGCACTGGGGGAGCCGGGAGCGGGAGTGATTACACAGCGGGTGCGGTGTTGCTTTTGCGGCAATGAAAAAACTCTGGGATACAGAAATAGATGACTCGATCAAGAAGACGTGGTCTATAGACACAAGGGAATATTATTCAGCCATCAAAAAAGACATGCCATTTGCAGCAACGTGGCTGGAGCTGGAAGGGATCATCCTCAGTGAAATAAGCCAGAAAGAAAAAGGAAAATACCGGATGGTCTCACTTACAGGAGGAATGTAGAGGATCCAAATAAGGGATCAGGGGGAAAAAAGTTATTATAATAAAGTGAAAATCAAAATCAACGAGTATCTGTAAGCCAGAGACATTCTGCAGGGGGGAGAAGGGAGCAGGATCAAAACAGGGGTGGGACCATGGTGGTGGTGCACGGGTGAGCGGGGTGGGGTGGGGGGTGGGCGTTTCACGGGGACTGTAGCCGAGAGGACAAAGCACACATTGTACCCAAATGAAGACTGATGCAAAAATATATAAAATAATAATTAAAAAATACTCTGGGCTAAAAGTAGTTTTGGCCACACAGTTTTGTGACTATACTAAGAGCGGCTGAATTGTTTTTAAAAACGTGCCGGCGCACATGATTCCGTGTCTGTTTTATATGTATAATATGCATAATTTTATTGTTTTTAAAAATACATATCATGGATTTCTAGATACTTATGCTGATTACTGAGTTTAGGGGCGTCCCCTTAAGTTTTGCATCTGAGGCACAAGGCTGACCCCACCCAAATCTGGCCTGGCAGGTGGCGCTTAGGGCGGGGCTGGCACCAAGCAGTGCAGTGCGGGGTGACAGGCAGCAGGGACGAGTGGGCGCTGGGGTGGAGCCGGGCACGCAGGAGACACAGGAAGAGAGTCAGAGCTGGTCCCTGCCCTCAGCACCCCGCTCAGCCCGGGTGCATGGCCGTGCCCGGGACTGTGATTCTGGGGTCACACCTCCAAGGAAGCCTGGTACCCTTTCGCCGCTCAGCCGTGTTCTCGGCCAGCAGGCGTGCCAGAGGCGGCCCTCCGTTCCCCCTCCCTCAGGACCCCGTCTCTATTCTCAGGGCTGACTTTCATGGGGGACTAAGCCATCCCAAGTAAAGACTGCATTTCCCAGCCTCCCTTGCAGCAGACGGCGCAGTCCTGGCCGTGGAGTGGGGGGCAGAGAGGGGACACGGGGAACTGATGTGCTCGGCTCCCAGGTAGAAGGCGAGGCGCAGGCAGATGGAGGGAACACTGAGGAAGGTGGAACAACAGAGAGGGCGGCCTGGGTCTCTGAGGGAGGAGGGGGCGGAGGGAGAGGGGTCAGGCCAGCCCGGCTGGTGTGTGAGAGTGAAATAAACTCCGTTTTCTTTCACCCGCCGGGGTGTGTGTTGGCAGCATCCGCGCCGTCTCCGGACAGCCACAGGACGTGAGCCGCCGGGCCCAGGAGAAGTGCCCCCAGCGAGCAAGCTGTGCTCCGGGCGTGAGGCATTCCCCGTGAGAGGCCGGCCAGGGCCGACCTGCTCGTTCACTCATTCGTTACCAGGAACCTAACTACCCACCCTACGCCCAGGCAATAAGATCTGACTTTTCTGGATTCTGATAGGGGGCAGGAAAGCCAAGCGGGGGAAAGGGTGTGAAGGAACTTTGAGAGGAGGTGGGAACTCAGTGTTGGATCCAGCAGGCCCCCTGGAAGAGGAATTCTCTCCTGCTGCCCGCGGCGTCCAGACAGGCCGGCACCCTCTGGGGCGCCGGCTCATCCCCGAGGAGCAGGCTTGGGCGCCACCGCAGCGGACTCACGGTGGACACGCCCATGGGCGCACACCAGGCCAGCGGTCCCTCCCACCTCCTCTGTGGCCCTCCAGGGTGCAGGCAGCATGAGGGGCCTCCGGGAGTTTGTCTGAGGACCGCCCCCCTTCTGCACACAGGCACCTGCATTCGGTTTCCTGGAACAGGGTTCCTTGCACCTGCCTACTAGGCCTACATCTACAAAGCGGGGGCTGCACCCCAGCCCCGACAACCCGCAGGGCTTTCAAGAGAACACAATGAGAAAAGGACACGAGAGTGATTCAGAACCAGAAAAGTGCTGTGGAAAAGTGAGCTGTTCTGACATCTACGTTCTGCTTTCTCCAGGGGCCTCGGCCTCTCCACCTGCGCCTGACAGCTGAAGGGCACGGGCTGGAGTAAAGCCCCCGCGTGTCCGCCCCAGCCGTGTGACCTGGGGCCAGGGCTGCACCTCTCTGAGCCTGCCTTCCCAGCCATGTGCGGACAGACACAGGCCACCCCTGGGAAATGGTTCATGTGGAGGCGCCCACCCCACCCAGCACCCACAGAAACCCCCTTCCTGTGTTCTGAGGCTCTCTGAGTATTTGTGTCAAGGTTACCGTTCCCCTCCTGGCACGGAATTACTCCATTCTGGAGAAAGCCTTCCCACAAACTTCATGTGCTCCAGATACCACCAAAGCCTCCCTGGGGAAGCGTGATTTTGTGTTCCGAGATGTTTTCCGTGTCGATGATTTAATTTCCGAATCCTGGCGCCCCGGAGGCTCTCTCCGTGTTTGATCACGGCTTAGGGAGCGAGGCGAGTCCAGCAGCACAGGCCTGAAGCCCAACTGTCAGGGGGCGCTCCTGACATCTGGCCAGGG